CCAACACCGCACACGCAGGGATGCACATTTTCACAAGGACAGATACAGGAAAACATTCCTCCCCTCTGGCTGGAAGAGATCGTTCTGCGCCATAGCTTCTCTAAATAACTGGACTCAAACTCCCACTGTACATTTTACATTTAATATTACATTTAATATTACATTTAATATTACATTTAATATTACATTTAATATTGAATAATCCATTTTTTGCACAACAATATCCTGCATGTTATTTGTTACTGGAAAGTTGTATTTCCACATGTATATTTTCTACATCCACGTATATAAATATATATTTTTACTTTTGAATGCTATTTTATTTCTATTTCAGAAATACTTTGGACTCTTTATTTCTTGTGTATTACATTGCTTTGTTTTTTATGCTGCTGCAATGAAAACATTTCCCAAATTGGGATCAATAAAGTACCTATCTATCTACCTACATATCTATCTACCTACATATCTATCTACCTACCTATCTACCTACATATCTATCTATCTACCTACCTACCTATCTATCTATCTACCTACCTATCTACCTACCTATCTACCTACCTACATATCTACCTACCTACATATCTATCTACCTACATATCTATCTACCTACATATCTATCTACCTACATATCTATCTACCTACATATCTATCTACCTACATATCTATCTACCTACATACCTACCTATCTATCTATCTACCTACCTACCTACCTACCTATCTATCTACCTACATATCTATCTACCTACCTATCTATCTACCTACCTATCTATCTACCTACATATCTATCTACCTACATATCTATCTATCTACCTACATATCTACCTACCTACCTACATATCTACCTACCTACCTATCGACCTACCTACATATCTATCTACCTACCTATCTATCTATCTACATATCTATCTATCTACCTACCTACATATCTACCTACCTACCTACATATCTACCTACCTACCTATCGACCTACCTACCTATCGACCTACCTACCTATCTATCTACCTACATATCTATCTACCTACATATCTATCTACCTACCTATCTATCTACCTACATATCTATCTATCTACCTACATATCTACCTACCTACCTACATATCTATCTACCTACCTATCTATCTACCTACCTATCTATCTACCTACATATCTATCTACCTACATATCTATCTACCTACATATCTATCTACCTACATATCTATCTACCTACATATCTATCTACCTACATATCTATCTACCTACATATCTATCTACCTACCTATCTATCTACCTACCTATCTATCTATCTACCTACCTATCTACCTACCTATCTATCTACCTACCTATCTATCTATCTACCTACATATCTATCTACCTACATATCTATCTACCTACCTATCTATCTACCTACATATCTATCTATCTACCTACATATCTACCTACCTACCTACATATCTATCTACCTACCTATCTATCTACCTACATATCTATCTACCTACCTATCTATCTACCTACATATCTATCTATCTACCTACATATCTACCTACCTACCTACATATCTATCTATCTACCTACATATCTATCAACCTACCTACTTGTACAATATCCTGTTTGATTAATGTCAATTAACATCCAAAATATTATAATTAGCCTGATGAGCCTACATGTGATTATAGCACTGACTGAAGTCAGCCTATAATATAACTTCAATCCTGAAATAGCCACTTCAAACCCATGTGTACGTACTAATACTGCATGTACAAATACACCACATGCTACATCACAGTACTAATACATTTACTGCAAGTACTTCTGGTATATATATATATAGTACTTTGTTGTTGTTCTGTTGTTGTTGCAATATCCCATATATTAGTATTAGTAAGTATAGACGCAACTCACACATCTAGGCTTCATTACTACTGTGTACGTTATGAATGAATTGGTGAAGGACTCTATTGGAGGTGTGAACATTTCAGAAATATCTACATATTTCCAGAACAATTTACTTTCCCCTGCATAAGATCTGGGTAATGGCCAAAATTGTTCAAGACGAAGAAATAATATCAATAAATATCTTGAGGTTTGGATTACTCTCACTCATTGGGACTTCCTGTTAATGGTGATCAACTATTATCGAGTTATGATTTCCCTTTTGTTAAACTGATGTAGATCAGGGGTGTCCAAACTACGGCCCGCGGACCATTTTGAATCGGCCCTCAGCAAATTCAATGTCCCACAAATGAAACTTGTGCTTGTCTTATATCGTACTTCTTAAATATATATATGTTAAGATATATTACACAGTGGTATTCATGTGTTAAAAAGCCCACTTTTCAAATAAATTCAGTCAATTAAAAAGTTGGAAATATTTTCTAACAAATCTTAGTTGATAAGAAAAAAGCCCAATGACTTATTTACCTAACAAGCTTGAAATATACCCTTCATATTTCCTCTATATATCCCTCTGAAGCTTCTGTTTTAAGAAATGAGCTGCTAACACAATAAATGAAACCCTCTGGAGAGCTGAGATATTTTTTTCTTACAGCATTTTCAAGTATCAAGAATAATTTACCTACATTGGATTGACTTTTCCAACTTATAACTTAACTTATGAGGCAATATACCTCCAGTGAGCGGCCCAGCTCTTCTTATATCTTTCTGAATGTGGCCCTCGGTGAAAAACATTTGAACCCCCCTGATGTAAATAAAGCTCACCGTCCTGAAGTCGTCCATGTCGTCGTCCTGCAGCGAGCTGGTGGGCGACGCCGTGGCCGACAGACGGTTGCCGGGCGACGGGGGGTGCTGCAACATGCTCCCGCCTCCTAAACCCAGCCCCAGTTGGGCGCTGAGCTCTGATTGGTCGATGGTGGTCAGCTGGTTGGACCCCAGCAGGCCGTGGCTCATGTCCCCCAACGGGACGTCGATGGTGACCGGGGACGAGCTGCTGAACTGAGATCCGATTGGATGCCCGAGGTCCTGAGGACGGAGATAGTGTGAGTGAATTTTAAACGTTTATTTTTCTGACAATTACATTTCAGAATCCAATTTATAACCAAGTACGTTTACACATACGAGGAATTGTCACAAGACACGGTTAACTATGCGATTTTATTTAGAAAAATGTATCGTATCATTTTGCGAAAGAGTACAGTTAAATAAAATATGACAAATACTAAATGACATCAGCAATACAAACCTGGAACTCTCTACCCACTCAAATCAAAGACATGCATACATATACCACCTTTACAGCTCACTTAAAAACATGGCTCACTGAGAACTACACCTGCACACACTAGGCTGTGTTGGATATGGCGTGTGTGTTACATGTTGTGATGTGGCCCCTCGTCATGTGATTGCTCTATGTGACATGTATGTAGTAGCGTGTGTTGTTTGCATTTCATTGTTCTCTTGTATCCTTTCACCTCCATCTACTTGTCTTTCATCCTTTCTTTATAACTAATGCTGTTGATGTAGGGCTGCTCAATTCATCGTATTTTAATCGCAATTACGATTATGGCTTGCAACGATTACGAAAACAACGTAATCGAAATAAAACGATTATTTTTTTATTATTCATTTCAAACCTTTATTTAACCAGATTGGTCCCATTGAGATAATAGATCTCTTTTTCAAGGGAGACCTGCAGCATATAGGCTCCACATGAAACATAAAACAATAAAGGACATCATACATTATATTTACAGGATACATTTACATAGTTATAGACATTTACAAGTGCCCATAGTATCAACGAGCATTTCATTTAGCCTAGCTTTAAAAACATGAGATGGCTCAGTTTCAATTCTTGCTGAAGACTGTTCCAAGCAAATGGAGCTACGCACATAAAAGCTGTCTTACCTAAGACAGTCCTTGCTCTTGACACATCTAACAATACTACATCATGCGATCTCAGACAATAGCTGCTTGCAACTCTCTGTGTTATCAGAGAGCAGATATAATACGGGAGTTTACCCAACAAAGCTTTATAAATAAACGTGTACCAATGACTGAGCCTCTTTACAGTAAGTGAAGGCAGACCTGCCTTGGCATACAGGGTACAGTGATGAGTAAGTGCTTTACAATTTGTGATAAATCTCAGTGCGCTGTGATAGGCGGCATCTAGCTTGTTCAGGCGATAGGCAGGTGCATTCATATACAACAAATCACCATAGTCCAGCACAGGTCAAAAGGTCACGGAGCCTTTTCCTGGCCTCAAGCGAGAAACAGGACTTGTTTCTGAAAAAGAAACCTAGTCTAACCCTCAGCTTTTTAAACAGGTTTAAAAGTAAGACAATCATCAAGCCAGATTATACCTAGGTATTTGTAACAGGTAACCACTTCAAGTACTTGTCCTTGCATAGTAACAATATCCAAAACAGGCTCTGGTGTCTTTTTAGCTTTGATGGCTTCCACAGGTTTTTCCACAGATTGTAGCTGACATCCTCGTGGATTCATCTTCTTATTACAGACACGTGCATTTCCTAACATTCGGTCTATATGCTGTAAAATGTATTATCTCTTCGATTTACACACGGCATCTATTGCACGTCTGTCCGTCCTGGGAGAGGGATCCCTCCTCTGTTGCTCTCCCTGAGGTTTCTCCCATGTTCCCTTTAAACTGTGGGTTTCTCTGGAAGTTTTTCCTTGTACGATGTGAGGGTCTAAGGACAGAGGGTCTAAGGACAGAGGGTCTAAGGACAGAGGGTCTAAGGACAGAGGGTCTAAGGACAGAGGGTGTCGTATTGTCATACTGATATTCTGAACAAACTGTGCCGTTGTATTAGCTGTAAAGTGTCTCTACTGTAGGCTATTTTTATATATGTAAATCTCACGTACCCCCTATGTATATATATATTTATTATATGTACAGCACTTTGGCTCGACCAAAAATCTTGATTCACAACATCCCCTTCCCCTCAAGCAGGTTATATACATCCAACAGGAACATTGTAACACTGTAACAATTTTTTATTAAACCTAACGGGTGACTCACAACAGTATTATCTATTCCCTTCTTAGCTCAGCTGGAAGTCTTTAAGGTAACTGGGTAACTTAGTCTCTCTTTTTGACTGTCTCTTCCCTGGACTTGTATTTTCCTTTAGCTTCTGTAGCTGCTGGCTCTTCCAACTCGTCCCCACTGAGCACCACTCTCAACGTCCTGCCATGTCTCTCCTTTTTCGGTTGCCTGACTTAGCTGAGTCGAGTCAGTCTGTTGTCTTTCATGGTCTTTTTCTGGTCTTTGGTGGTGAGCATGAATCTGGTCCACATGTCTCCTGACTACTCTCCCATCACCCAGCATTACTTTATATGACACTGGCCCTGGCACTGACTCTATGATTCCTGGAATCCTTTGGGTCCAAAACTGAAGTTTCTCATCAGCACTGAGTCTCCTGTTTTGAACCAGCGCCCCTTTGCCTTTTTGTCATGATCTCTTATTTGTCTTTCCTGTTTTTCGTTCACCTTCATGCACAGATCTGGATGAATTGAATCCAAACAGCAACGTAGATTCCTCCCGAGAAGCAGCTCTGCTGGTGACAGACCTGTGGTAGTCTGAGGAGTCACACGATAACTAAATAACACTCTGGCTACCTTGGCTGTCAGTGTGCCTTCTGGACATTTTTTCATCATCCTTTTAAATGTCTGTACCCCTCTCTCTGCTAACCCGTTACTGGAGGCGTGATAGGGTGCCGAGGTCACATGACGGATACCATTTCTTTTCAGGAAATCTTCGAACTCTGTGCTGATGAAACAGGTGCCATTATCAGACACCAACCATTCAGGCAGTCCATGGTTACTGAAACTGGTACGCAGGCACTCAATTGTAGTGGCAGAAGTGGTAGAATTGACTGGAGCCACATCCATCCATTTTGAGTGTGCATCGATGAGCACAAAAAACATCTTCGCCATGAATGGCCCAGCATAATCCACATGAATACGACTCCAGGGCTTATCAGGCCAATCCCAGGGGTGTAACGGAGCTGGTGCCGGAACATTTCGGTGCTCTTGACATGTTATACAGGACTTGACAGTATCCTCTACATCCTTGTCGAGCTTTGGCCACCATACATAGCTCCTAGCCAGTGCTTTCATCCTGGACACACCTGGATGGCATTGATGAAGCTGTCTCAAAACACTTTCTTGGCCTGGCTTTGGCACAATAACTCTTGCGCCCCACAACACACCCATTTTGGATACTGAGTTCACGTTTCCTCACTGCATAAGGGCCAAACTCAATCTCTTTTAATTCTGATGACCAGCCTCTGTTTACCAATTCCCGCACCCGTGAGAGTACTGGATCCTTGTCGGTCCATACTTTCACTTGGTCAGCAGTCACAAGTGTGATGTCAGAACTCTCCAGCATGAGAACCCTCTCTTCTGGCCTCCCCAGGTCAGGTTTCTCTGGTAGGGGCAGGCGGCTCAGTGCGTCTGCATTGTTGTGGTACTTCCCTTCTTTGTACACTATGGTGTATCCATAGGCTCTCAAGCTCACGGCCCAACGTTGAATCCTCGGTGATGCCGTTTGGGGTGCTGCTCGCATCTCACTGAAAAGTGACAACAGGGGCTTGTGATCCGTCACTATAGTAAACTTCCGTCCATAGATGTACTTGTGGAAGCGTTTTATTCCAAATATCACTGCCAGTCCTTCCTTGTCAAGTTGTGAGTAGTTTTTCTCTGCAGCATTTAATGTCCGTGATGTAAATCCAATGGGTCTTTCAGTTCCATCTGCCATGCGATGTGAGAGCACAACACCTAATCCATATGGTGATGCGTCACATGATAGCACAATGTCCTTCTCTGAGTCATAATGTACCAACACTTCAGCTGACTGCATCATGTCTTTTGACTTTTCAAACGCTGTCTGTTGTGCATCTTCCCACTGCCACTTTTTAGCAGTTTGTGCACTGGAGCAAGGATGGTTGACAGACTGGGCAGGAACTTGTTATAATAGTTTAACAGTCCTAGATATGCTTTGAGCTCTGTCACATTTGAAGGTGTGGGTGCATCCTTGATTGCTTCCACCTTCTCATGCACAGGGTGCAGTCCTGTAGCATCCACCTTATGACCCAGAAACATCACTTCCTCACTCATGAACGAACACTTGGTTCTTTTGAGCCTGAGACCGGCCTCCTGTAGCCGTTTCAACACAAGGACAAGAGTCTGCAGATGCTCTTTGTCGTCTTTCCCTGTCAGCAGGATGTCATCCAAGAATATTGCCACTCTAGGGATGCCCTGGAGCAGTCCCTCCATGGTCCGTTGAAAAATAGCTGGGCTAGATGATACTCCGAAAGGTAACACTTTATACGTGAACAAGCCCTTGTGTGTATTTATGGTCACATATGTTTTTGCTTCTTCATCCAAAGGGATTTGGTGATATGCATGACTGAGATCTAGCTTTGTGAACTTCTGTCCACCTGACAGGTTGGCAAACAAATCCTCAATTCTGGGAATTGGATACTGCTCCAGTTTTGATACTCGATTTACAGTCAGTTTGTAATCACCGCACAACCTTACTGAGTCATCTGGTTTTAACACCGGTACCACAGGCGCTGCCCACTCTGCATATTTTACCGGTTCAATTATCTCCTGGGCTAGGAGACGGTCCAGTTCGGCCTCAACCCGTCCTCTCATTGCATACGGGACCGGTGAAGCTTTAAAAAACCTGGGGGTTGCTTCCTTGTCCACATATAGTTTAGCTGGGGGCCCTTTACATTTCCCTAGTTCCTCTTTGAAAACCTCCTCATATTCCCCAAGTACCTCCTCCAATGTCTCTTCCCTGACATGGTGAATCTGGCTTTCCGGTCTCCACTGCAAACCTAGCTTCTTAATCCAGTTCCTGCCAACTAGACTAGGGCCCGTCCCTGGCACAACTACCACCGGTAGGTGTTTTACTGACTGTTTGTGCTGCACTTTTACCATAGCTGCTCCCAAAACATTTACCCTATGTCCTGTGTATGTTCTGAGTCTCACTCTGCAGGGTTGTAGGGCTGGTACCTCTCCCCTCCATAAGGTTTTGTACACTGAGTGGTTCACCACTGTTACCCCACATCCTGAGTCTACTTCAAACTGTGTTTCAGTTTTGTTAATAGTCAGTGTTTCTAGAAATGGCTCCTCTGCCGGTATGTCTATTTCCTCCACTTTGTACAAAGTGAACATGATCTCATCTGTGTCTATGTCATCTTTTTCGCCCTCCCCCTGGCTGACATAGTTTGCTCCCTGAGTTTTCACATGCTTATATCTCTGATATACTCCACCCCCTTTTGCTTGTGAAGCACTAACTGAGCCTTTTGACCTACACACTTTCTGAATATGGCCTATCTTCCCACACTTGTGACAGGTTTCTTTAATAAACCTACAGTCCCCAGCTATGTGCTGCTCACTGCCACACCTGTAACAAGCCTTATGCTGGTGCTGCTGCTCACTGGGGCTCTGCCTTGCCGTCATCTTGTGCACTGCCTCAGGTGCTCTCATGTGCGAGGGTGCTGACTCCAATGACTGTAAGTCTCTCACATTCTTGCTGGCTGTCTCAATAGCCTGGGCCAGCTTCAGTGCCCTGTCGAAGGTCAAATCCGGCTCTGACAACAATCGCCGTTGTATGCGATCCTCCCCAATCCCACAGACCAGCCTGTCACGCAGCATTTCTGTTAACTTGTCTCCATAGTTACAATCTTGTGCTAATTTCCTTAGCACAGCAACATACTCCATGACTGTTTCTCCCAGCTTCCTACTTCTTGAGTTAAATTTGTAGCGCTGTACAATTTCACTGGGTTTGGGGTTGAAATGGTCTTTCAGCAGCTGAACAAGCTCATCAAACGTCTTCTCTCCTGGCCTCGCCGGGCTGATAAGGTTCCTCATAAGGCTGTAAGTCTGACTGCCAACTGAACTGAGCAAAATAGCTTTCTGCCGACCTGCATCTTTGATCTCATTAGCTTCAAAGAAATATTGGAGAACCTCACAATATTCCTCCCACGTCTGGGATTGACTATCAAAAGGAGCGGTGTTTCCTACCATTGCCGCCGCCATCTTCTAATCAAATTTGATTTGAATAATCGTGATATCAATTATTGACCAAAATAATTGAGATTATGATTTTTGCCATAATCGAGCAGCCCTATGTTGATGTATTGTGATTTTAAAAAGGTGTCCATTATCATCTAGCCGGGGACAACAGCTGGAAATTAGCAATGTTTGCTACAGTCGATCAATGGGGACTGTCCACGACACTATAAACAAATCAACTCAAATAAACATTTCCCCGTACTACTCACCATTCCCAGTGAGGACCCCAACAGCGCGCTCCCTCCTGATTGGTTGATGACGCCCAGACTCAGGTGCTCCAGGCCCTGAGACGGGGCGTTGACGAAGGTGGAGGCGAACGAGGGGTCGTCTCCTTCCACCACGGCGTTCCCGGGAACAACCACGCTGTCGGGGGGGCCGGAGTCCGACAACTCCCCGAAATGGGAAACGACATCGGAGACGGTGAGGGCGGAGTCAGGATCCAGAGAGATGGGAGGGATCTCAAACTCTTCATCTCCGAGGCTGGGGGTGTGGAAGGTCTGCAGAGAAGATGGTGGAGAGAGAGAGAGGTAGAAAAGATAAGAATGGAGAGAAGAGAGAAAACACCGTTGTGAGAAATTGGGGTGCAGAGGAGTCAAGTAAAACATTTGGAAAGAAAGGTAAGAGAGTTATAAAAGAAGGAGAGGGTTAGTCAGGTTTATTAAACACGTATTTTGTGTCGGGAGTGATCGGATCAGGAAATGTGTACACAGTGCGACATGTCTGTGTGTGGAAGCTCGTGTCACAAAGCAAGATAAGTGGGTTAGCTTGCCATCGAAACTCAGGTGTCAGAATAGGGGAGAGAGAAGGGGAAATTAAACAAAACAACAACCCCGCCCTGCATTGCAAAGCTAGCTTACTTGTGACTGGTGTAGATGATCAACCAGCTAACATCCTCCATCAGTTCAAATATAAACAAATTACAACTAAAACCTTAGTTTCAATGCCTTTAAATCATATCTTTAATTAGATGCGGCAAAAGACAAAACATCACGGACAAAGCAATCACTTGTTTTTTCAGCTTTCCATCTAATCGATGGTTGAGCTCAAAGAGGGAAAGACTTCGTTCATCTTGCTTTGTGATACAATCCACTGATCATGCAATCCAAAAAATAAAAAAACGTCACAGCTGGAGAACGCTGATTATCGCAATATTAACAACAAGTTTGTGCAGAAAAACCAGCACTGCAGGAAATAGGTTGAGGTTTACGATGTAGGTTTGTAGTGATCGCTCTCGCGTTTTTATTATTACTATTCTCTAACGCTTTGTCTGAGGCACCCCACTGACAAAAAAGCACTATAACCCTGAAATGTAACGCCCCGATGAACACATTTGGATGAGTCAGTTTCTGTTATTTTAAATTCCTATCCTGACATGAGGTGTTGGATGATTCGTCTCCCCTTACTGACATGAAAAAACAAAACAAAAGGTGTCTGATTTGAAGCAGGAGGGGTAGTGAGATATATTAAAAATAATTCATACTCCACCAGCAGATCCAGCGAGGTTGAAGAGGTCAATGGGTTTAGTGGCACACTAAAAAATGTGAGTATGTCAGTGAGTTGATTTCAAATGTCATGGGTCAACTAAAACGGACTTTATATGTACTCATGGCACCAGTGACAAAACGATTCATACATACCTTATATTGTACCATTCACAAATGACACAAAAACAAATATTAACATGGTTTAATAGCTACAAAATAAAGGTTGCCAACCGCTAGATGTTATGTTAGAGATGATTAAGTGTATGCACGGTTGATGTGACGTTAACTAAGAGATTTAAAAGCAGCTTAAGGTGTGGTAACACTTTGTAGGTCAACAGCAGGGAGAAATACAACCTGTCAGAGGGAAATAAAAATCCGGGTAATCCAAAATGTGAACGCCTACCTCTGAGGAGGAGAGGAAGGGATGCCCGGACCCGGAGATGGTCAGGTAGTTGTCACTGCCTCCAGGAAACTGAAACATAAAGGTGGAAAAGTTAGAAAAAGGTGTTGAATCAGAAGAAATAATACACATTCTCCAATACCATATATTCGGGATTGTGGGAAACGGTGTTTCTATCTCTCTGTCTGTACACACAAAATGAAAGATTGACAATAAAGTTGACTTTGACTTGACTTTGATACAAGTGGTGCAATGTATTGAAGTACATCTACTACTTTATTCTGGGCTACCTGTACTATACTTGAGTATTTTATTTGTATGTTTTTCTATCCTTCTACTCCACTACCATTTGGAAACCAATATTGTACTTTATACTCCACTACCTTTAGGGATTATAATAATCAAGCAACAAACACATATATCTACACTTATATATATTAATAAAAACGTTATTTATATAGCACCTTTCAAAACACCGTAACAAAGTGCTTTCACATTAAAAAAAATACACAGAACAAGTTAATTAAACAACAGCATCTAAACATAAGAACACAGAGTAAAACACATAGAAAATAATACAATAAAAATACATAAAATAGGGGTAAATGAAAAATAAAATCAATTCTAACGAAGTGGGGGGTTTAAGTGACTTAAAACAGCTGACGCTGAATGACTTTGGTTAGACATATTCAAAGCAAATGCAAAATAAGTAGCATGCTGTTAGTTTGCATGTGGCCCCCTATCATAACATAGAGTCACCTTGTTGTCTGAGTCAAATCCATTGAAAGCCTGCGGGTCCAGAAACTCTGGGTCACCGTCGTGCTGACCAGTACCGTCCGTTAAATCCGAATAAAAATTCAGGTCCATCTTTGTCAACTGGGCCTCATGTGTTAAACGCTATGAGGCCCCTCTTAAATCCAACAAAATGTTTCGCAATTAAATAAATCTCCTATTATTTGTTAACCTGTTTTCCAAAAGGTGTAGTTAAAGTCCAAGTCAGAAAGCTGGTAATTGACAGAAAGCGACCCCTAAATACCGAGTTTAAATCTGCTATTTCTTCTGACAGCTTTTGCACAGATGTTTGATTAGCTCACAACACTAAAACGCAGCATGTGCACGACAGCAACCGTACCCAAAATAACCTGTGTGCTGTCTGTCTGGAAACGTGGCTGTTAACGCGTATTTCTTGCTGACTTGTCGCACCACGGTTTAGCTTTAGCTGCTTTTGACGCAAAGCTGCAGCGACAAGCCCGGCGCCCGATTGTCTGTGTTGTCCTCAAACGTCACATTTAACCAACAGCCGCAGAACGTGCACAGATAGATTAAACGTCACTGTAAATGACGGCTAGATACGTATGTAAAAACAGGACTATGGTTGTTTTAATGTGTCTGACTGACAGCGGAGGAAGGCAGACCGAATCCCCGGTTTTTGCTTCGTGTTTTTTAGGCTGCTCAATAGATCCAGAGCCACGGAGCATGGATTGAATGGAAGGTTGTCAGCGCCGGATGTTGAGCAATGCATTTTTCAAAATAAAGTGGATTACAAAGAAAAACGAGAAAATGTTGTTCGTTTTTTGGGTATAAATACGTTCAATAGGTCGATAGAATATATATATATATATATATTGTTGAATTGAATTTCTACTAGTAGGGTTAGGTATTAAATATACCAATAGGAGGAGGATTTGCTTTTTTATTTTGAAAATACTGTCAATATATTTTTGAAGAATAAACTTGACAATTCTAAATTAAAGTACATTTTTGAGTGTGCATACCTATGGTGCATACACATTATTCTCGCGATGCATTATTATCTTATTTATTTCCCTTATGCCTGGCACAGTGGCACTATACTCTTTCTCATCTTCACCATCAAGTGAATACAGTAGCCTACTACTTTGTTTTATTGCATATGGGGAATAAAGACACACTACTATCATTAATAATAGTAGTTTGATATATTCTATCAAGTTTAACTTGAATCTTTAAATGCAAGTTTATTTTAATTTGTTTAACTATATTCTTAATTTGCAATAAAAACTCCTCCTTTGATTTGTTTTTATTTTGTATGTAATATTACATGGCCACATTCTCAACAAAGTAACGACATGACTCCCAATATTAATTGAAATGCTTTTATAGATTAAGAAATGTTTTGTATTGATTTAAAAAATAGTAGGCTATTATTGATTTAAAATGACATGCATCCGCTAAGAAAAATAGTCCTTTCTTACTGTTTGAACTAACGTAGCAACATCAGGAACTGCTACGATAGCGTTTTTGCGGAGCTTTTTGACTACAGATTTGAAAACATTGCTGCTTGCTTTAAAAGTAGCACAATTCATTATGTTAAACCTTGGAAAGTATCTAGATATCCCCTGCCCTAATGCCAAAGCAACTGGCAACTGAATATGTTTTGCCGTTTGATGTCTATGGCTGGACCGTTGAGTAAAAAGGAGGGTTTCTGCCCCGTTACTTCTCCGCTGTTTTCTTGTCCCAGTTTGAAAAGCAAACTGCCGGCCAAACTGTATACCGTTCAATCGACCGGACTTCTTTCTGCAGATGTGAGCGTCCTTAACAACGGCCAATACATCCTTGACAGCTGTCTGTCTCTGTCTGTTCTGGATTAACAACGTGTCACGTGTTCTGAATTGACCAATCAGAATCGAGTATTCAACTAAACCATGTAATAATAAATAATAAACTGTGTTCTCGACATTTTTAATTCTTAGCTCTAATATTCTTCCATATCAATTATGTTGTATGTTTCATACTCAAGGCTCTTATTTCTTAACTGTAAGAATTGATAATTGACAAACCATCTACTTTTGTTGTTATATATATGTTATGCAAAAGTAAGATCACTTTTTTTAAGGAGTCGTCTGTACCATGAGTAGAACAAATATATATAAAAAAATAAATAATTGAATGTTGTGTTTCTATATGCTAAAAATCACGTTTTGTTCAGGCTCATTTCTTTCATATCCGCTAGAGATTTTATTTTGAAAGGCCCGGACAGGAAGTGGCCTGTCACGCTGTTCTTCTATTCCTAACCCACATATGTGTTAGCTTTGCTACAGTAGATTTTTTACCACCAAAGATCGTGTGTTAAAACTGAAAATCACATATGAGGACAAAGATGATTCTTTTATTAAGTCAGACATTTAGAATACCAACTACTCTTACCTCCATGCTCACCCCCGAAATCTGATAAATGTTAGTTTTTTGTCCCACTTTTTGCAAGTGAAGTTCGCCCAGATTTCCTCAAATATCACAACAACAACGAACTTCCGGATTGTACGTACAAGTGGAAGTGACGTCATCACGTCAACAAATTAAAGGGGGAGTTTCGCGTTTCCAGAATAAACGACAGTAAATTAAGCATGAATTTATCTTTGGTGATTTTTAACAAGTGACATTAGTATGGAATATTTTTGAAAGTACAGTAACAATTAAAGAATAATAATACAGAGCAATAGTAATAGTATTTAACTGTATATAACATAAGAAAGTACAGTGTGTTTATTATTTATAAAGCCAAAATCGAACTTTATAACTGAGCATTTTGCCGTTTTTGTCTTATTTATCATTATAAATTAACATTGTTAGAGGGTTTTGTGTAGGTGGTCAGAGAAAATGATCATACTCTGAATGAATGTTTCTTAATTTGGCAGATTCTCCCCAAAAAATACATTATATTACAATAATATTAGATCAATCAGTCCATATTTGTTCCATTTGGTTATTGTTCTTTCGTCTTGGCAAAGAACACTTTAAATTACATGTATTAAAACTTAAAAGTCACCTATCATGCTATTTTTAGGCAATAGCATAGGTCTCAGATATATAAAAATATAAAAACATGTCTCTGAAGTGGTTTGCTCAAAATACCAAACAGATCACCGATTCTAGCCATGATCAAGCCCCCAGAACAACTTTGAAATCACACAGTTTATCAATAATCGGCGTTAAATTATGGAATGGATTTAACCCCATTGTCATCAACAATTCAAATCTACATTTAGAAAAAAAATATTTGCAGAAACTTCCCAAAAAGGTCTATTCCTAAAATAAAAGAAAGGGGGAAAAATACACCGCAGTGAAGGTCTGTCCTTGTGTTTGCCATACAAATACAAATAAATAAAAATAGGATGAGAAGTACTGTATTGTAAGCATACATGGAATAGTATGAATTACTAGTTTATTTACCTTTTTTCTACTTTATTTTCCTCTTTATTGATTTGGTATTGCATTTCCCTTTTGCCCTGGAAATTACCTTTTTAAATACTATATTTAAATCTGAAGTGTGTGTGTGTTGTGTGTGTGTATTGTGTGTGTGCCATACGGCCTACATTGCAAGAACATCAAGCCCAAACCATGGTTAACAGTTTATTAAATGTCAGGAAAAATCAATTGTTTACATCAAATAATCATGATTTGACATATTTCAACATTATTACCCAATTTGAATTACATCTTGGAAATTAAAAACATGTTATAAAGTGAGTATATGAAATGTTTATTATAGCAAAGCAGAATAGGTTAATTGTTTCTTGAACTCTACCAATTGGATACAACAAATACCTTAAGAAATGCATAAAAATCCCACACTTTAAAAGAAAAACATGACAATATTCTATTTTGAATAAACAATGAGCACCAAGGCTGCTGTAGTTATCTCTCCCCGGCTATTTCAAAGGAAGCAACTTAAAATAAATCATGTCCCCGGAATTTCTCAATGACTAATCTGCATTAGCCTGACACATCAAATAATAGTCAGAAAATTCTATTTGAAATTGAGGTGTTTAACCTTTTAACAAAATACAACAACAAATTATTTGGTAATTATTTACATATATGATTTTTTTTGTATCATATTTTATATGTCAGGCGTTTATGGCAATGTATTGAACAAAACAACGTCTGCTTTTGAAACAAAAACAAATATTGATTATTACATTTGGAAGATTTTGAACATGTCACAACCCGAACCAACAGGCTATATAAAAGAGTATTTCTTTGCCATCTAAAAGTACATGCAAACACAAATTATGTTGTACTTTCTGACTTGGTCAATACAACATAGATTATGATAGCCAAGGAATTGTTTTAATGAAAAAATCTATAAATTGTGGCAATTATTAGCAAGTGAGTCATTGCACCATTTGACTCACCGGTTTACAGAATGACCGGGTTACAAAAAAAACACGTAAATATCTCAATTTTGACTTTTAATATATTACATTTTAATCTTTAATTAGTTTAATTAAATAATCTAAACAGTGTTTTTGGCATTGTGGTAAGCAATTTACCCAGGGGTGCACAGGGGCAAATCACATCTACAGATCAAGATGAAGCGAATGGAAGTACTCCCATACTCCTAGCGTGTGAAAATGTTTGTGAAAAACGTGTGCAAAGTCTCCGAAAACGGAGCAGTGGCTGCGATGCTAGCTTTGCGGCTAGCGGTTAGCATTTTCAATGGAAACATCATGTTTCAGTAAAAAAAAGGCCCCACTGATCATCTACTCTAAGTCGCTTTGGATAAAAGCGTCAGCTAAATGCAATGTAATGTAATGATCAAAAAACCCCGCTATACTCTAGACAGCGCCCCCGAGCACCCCTGGGTAAATTACCGTACAGCCAATCACAATGTGTGACGTCATTGGTAAGAGACGGGCCCGAACACATATGGTACCGACACCGTTACGGCCATAGATATATATATAAACATGTTATATATATCTATGGTTACGGCCCCATGACCGTAGCCATTTTGGATTTGGTCATTAAAAGCGCTCTACAGCCTTCAGTGCCCGGATGATCCACCAGAGGGAAGAAGACATGTATCACATTGCATACAACAGGTCTTTTAGGAACGTACGAACGTACTAGTCATTTGGATGACGTAGAGGTCTCAGCAACTCATGTATCAAATATGATACACTTGGCGTTATAGGGTTTTAAGTGATACCTTCATAAATTATGTTCTAACATCTTCAGGTTGTGATTTATTTACCTGTCATTGTGCCATTAAAATACCCAGAGAACAGTCAGTGTAGAGTAAGCTCATATAAATACACCGGTGGGTTTAAAAAATGTAGGCCTACTATAAGGCGCAGATAAAATTAAGAGATTCCCCTTCTCTCCTTTCATACCACTTCCCATCACTCTCCATGGCTGTAGCCCTGTCACAACCCTCAATCTTCTCGTCTTGGGCCCAGTTGTCATAGCAGACCAGACGATCACTGACCCAGAACCACAGATCCAGAGTGCAGGTGTAGCGCATTCCCAGCCAGACGAACGCAGTGTCGGCCATCTTGGCTCTCTTTTTGACCCATCTCTGCTGGTGACGGTCAGTGATGGAGACCAGGTCACGGTGCTTCTCTCTGCAGTAATCCAAGGCCTCATCCCAAGTCTTCTTCTCTTTGATCAGGATCACTTTGTCTGGCATTTAAATTGATTTTGTTTTTAGTTAGGGTAACTATTTATTGCAGAAAAACTCTCAACTGTAATAATATAGAACCTTTCTTACAATAATCCTTATGTTTTTTAAATAAATAAAAGTCCCCACAAAAGAGAAGTAAATATACAAATGGAATGAAAACCAATGGTAAGGAAATATAAGTCCTGAAATGACGTGGCACCTTATGTAAAAGCCAGGTTAAAAAGATGCGTCTTGAGGACAAAAACATGACGAAATGATGTTCAAACTTTAAGTAAGAATATTATATTCACAGTCTATCGTAAGATTAAGGACAGAATCCAGATCGGTGAATCTGTGTATATTAAAAATAACTTCACAACTAAAGGATCTTCAACATGAATGTAAAAATAAATATATATAAAGACTTGAAATAAGAATACTTTACTTATAGACTTTTGCAAAACTCACCGTCATAGCAGTAGAAGGGTTTTTCCTCTGTGCAATTGTCGGAGCTCCATTTTCCATTTGGCTTAGTCATAGCACATGTCTTTGAGGCTTTATCTTTAAATGAGTCCTCCCAGTGTCTGAAAGAGAAATTCTTCCCATCTGACCAACTCCAGATCTCTCTGAACAGGCCGATCCACATCCATTCAGAGCTCACGTTTGACTTGAATTCTTCTGATCTGATCTGTGTGAGTCCACTGACCAGGTCAGTGTGATGTTCTCTGCAGTAGCTCTGAGCCTGAAGCCAGTTCTTCTTACCACGACTCAAATGGTATTTCTGTTGCCCTGTTTCTGTGAGAACGAAAAGACACATTTTACTTTTGGTATAATAATGTAGATTGAATAATCAAAAAATAGGCCTATACTTTACCATTAAAGTTTTTAAACAAGTAGAATTGTATCACAGTTACCAATAATGTTTAATGTGAAAGGCAAAAATAGGTTTTAATTTAATTTAACTCTACACACGACGTGAGTTATCTGTCAACTATTGTTACACAGTATGATATCATTTATATAGCATTAACAGTGACATATACTCACCATTGTAGCAGATGAACTTGTGTTCCTTACAACAACTGTAATCGTACCATTTTGAGTTTCTAATATTCACACAGTTCTCAGGATCGACACCTCCATTGTTCGGCTCACCTGAAGCCCATTCTGGCACACATTCTGGCTCACATTCTGGCTCACATTCTGGTTCACATTCTGTAGGAATGTACTTCTCCCCCGGCAGAGACCAGTGCCACTCTTTGATATCACTTTCATTGATGCTCCTCAGTCCGATCCAGGCGCCTCTATTAGTCAGTCTCTCCACGTCTCTCATGTCAGACACTGTGGCCAGGTCAGTGAAATGCTCTCTGCAATAACTCTGGGCTTCATCCCAGGACATTTTCTTTCTAATGAAGTGGTACTCATAGAGGTGACATGTGAAGAAGGAACACTGACCTGAAAACAGAGACAATTCTGCAGTGATGGAGCTGACAGTATGACAAGCACTTGATCATTAAATCAAACTCATGAGTACTAAAATCACCCCCACCTCTTACATCGTCCCCTTCATCTTAATAGAGCTCTGAGTTCACTTATTTCACGTTTTATCGTTATGAAGATTGAGCAGTTTCATGACTCCAGATGTGATATCAGTTACAAATCTGATAAGATGATCCACTTACCCATCAGAATCAGCACAAACAGAATCCACTGCATCTTTGCTCTGTTAGATGAAAGCAATATTGTTATTGATCATTTATATAAATTGTATAAATGATGTCAGTTACATTTAAATTATTTTGAGCACCTAATGTTTCAGTTAAATTAACACAAACACAGACTGCACCACTCGCTTCTGTGCAGTAGTTTAATGAAGATGTAAATGTAGAGAAAATGCAAATTTCGAGCAACACCAGCAGTAACATACGGAGCCCCTAAGGGACATGGGAAAAAAGAGAGAGAAAAAGTCGGGATAATTAAACATTAACCCGCTATCCCGAATTAGTTCTCTCTCTTTTTTTCATTTTTTTTCATGTCCCTTTCCATAATACGAGGCAAACACCGTCAAATGTATTTTTAGCACATGAAAAAGTCTAATATATCATATTCCAATCACTTGTATATATAGACTCTTATTGCACTATTTCACTAATTTACAATTTTTCTTTTTGTATTTACTTGCACTATTTTTTTCTGTTTTTCAGTGTTATTGTGTTGCACTGATGGAGGAGCCTGTGACCTAAGATTTTCATCGTCATAACTACACTGTAGCTATGTACTATGAGTCTATGACTATTAAAAGCCTTGATCCTTGAACTATTTGAATGGAACATGCAAACACCAGTTAGAAACTAAACATAACAATATAGTGCCACACAACAACACTGACTTTTTATGTTTGTTTTGTCAAGGCCATTATATTTTTGTGGTTCTATATTTTTTTGTTTATTTATTCACATGTAGTCTACTATCAGAAACATACACTATAGAGGCTTCTCAATACTCAAATTTCCCCTCCTCGACTCCCCTCCTCGACTCCCCTCCTCGAGACTTACCCCCAAAACACACCAGGAGCGTCTGCGCCGCGTTACGTTGCGGCTGCGCCACGCTGCGACCTCCTCCTGCGACAACACACACCAGACGCGTTTCAAAACGTTGCGGAAGCGGAGCGTCGTGTGTGCAGCCTTGCAGTTGTTGTTGATTTTGGAATATTTCCTGGACATTTGTACTTCTACAAGTAAGTAGGCTATACGTAGTTAAATGGTTTATGTTTGTGTCTGTTTAAATCATGTTTATTGTTGTTATTTCCTATTTTGTTGTGTTGTAGACTACAGACACAGTTAATAATAATTGTAATATTCCAGTTATAAACGACATGAATCAAAGATGTGTTGCTGTATTTTAGTGGTAAAAAAATATGCATTCATCATCATAATTATTCTATATATATATATATATCATTTACAGTGCCTGTAAACCGGAGGAGAACGCTGGCATGTATTCTCCTACTTGAAAGACTACGGGGGGATGGGGGGAGGAGTTTACCTTACGGCTGCGCCGCGGCAAAAAAAGGATTCATCCTAATTTTAGAGAAGCGCTGCGCCGAGCCGCTTCTGGGACGCGTCTGAGCCGTAACCCGGCGCGTGTGGTGTAATAGCACCCATTGACTAGAGTGGCCGCGAGCCTTACGACCGCCGCGGCGCGGCCGTAACGCGACGCAGACGCTCCTGGTGTGTTTTGGGGGTTAGACCCGCCCACAGGAGATGCGAGCGGAGGACCGAGGAGGGGAACCGAGGAGAGAGGAGGGGAAGCAGCAGACGTTTAAAGAAATGAGAACTCCTCTCCTCTGAGCGGTCATTTTAAAGAGACGTCCGTTCATTATTACGTGGCAACAGCTGCATCAGCTGTCGAGTGTTTTGTCATAGCGCTGTATTTTATAATCTCTGTTAGATCAGCTGAACATTGTTCCCCCACATATTTACTTTGAATTAATTGAGAGTGCGGTATAATGAGACAATAACAGGCTACAGATGCGGACACACACACACAAATATATTTATATAAATATATACAATTTAAAGTATGAGAGCTCAGCACTCTCATAATCACGTAACACAATCAGAGACTGGATATATCCCCCCCCCCCCCCTCTTTTTGGTCGCTGAAATGGGGAATTGAAATTACGGGCCAAAAGTTGTATTTACAAGTATTAACTTGTAATAATAATAAGCCACTTACAATTTTCCGTGAGATCAGGGAGCAGATATAAGATGGAAGTTTCCCTAACATACAAAGCCATGTTAGGGAAACTTCCATCTTATATCTGCTCCCTGATCTTACGGAAAATTGTAAGTGGCTACTGCCTGAGATCGCATGCTGTGGTTTTATTAAATGTGCCAACTGCTAGGACTGTCTTAGGGAAGACAGCTTTTAGATGCGCAGCTCCTCTGTCTTGGAATAGTATGCAAATTAAATGGAAACTGATCAATCTGGTGCCACTAAATGTTTTTAAAGCTCGGTTGGATGCTACTCAATCGGAAGCTGTTGGTACCTGTTTATGTGGATAATTATGTAAATGATGCTGTATGATGTCCTTTTGTTGTTCTATTTATGTTGTTATGTTTCATGTGGAACTACATGAGCAGGTCTCCCTTGAAAAAGAGATCAATGATCTCAATGGGATTTATCTGTATAAATAAAGATTTGAAATTAAATTAAATTAAAAGTAAGCAGAGGACACCAAACCAACTGAGACCCGTCTGTCCGCCGCATCTACGCACTGTACCACACACACCTACATACTGTACCACACACACACACATACACACTGCCTACAACACACACTTACAGCTCCTAAAGCATAATCAGGCTACAGCCGTTGTGTATTTTATTATGTGACGCACTAAATGGTCTTTGAAAAATATCGACTCTTTGTACTACAGCAAATAAAGAGAGTAATGTAGGCCTGTTATACTGAGTGATATTGTACACTGCTCTGCTTTCTGCACGGACCTCACAGCTGTTCTCACTGTAAACATCGCAACGCGATGAAAGCAGTTTCTAAAATAATATCCAGAGGATGCATGCAGAGCTGTCATTGGCTGAGATAAGTCCGGTCGTGCGTCACGCCTCCACCGTTCCCGGAAATGCATCCGTGGAGGAGCCGTGGAGGAACCATCAGTGTATCCTCGGTTATAGCTCCTCCAGAGAGCCTCCTCGACGCTCGATGCTCGGTCCTCGGTGTGCATTTAGAGAAATGAGACGTCCTTCAAAATGGCGCGCTGAAATTCATTTCCAGGTCACTACCGGAGGACCGAGGACCGAGGAGTCGAGGAGGGGAAATTTGAGTATTGAGAAGCCTCTTATGTTTTAGGTGAGGGTGAGGCTTTATGGGTTCTTTAACCGGAACTGAGAAGTAAACTGAAATAAAAGCTTGATTACATTTTGTATCGTTGCTTTTATAAGGCCGATTTAAAGATGTGGGATCCTTTCTTTATTATGGGTAAACTACGGTGGCCCTGAAGTGCAAGACACTACAGCATTTCAGAAAACACCACAGCATTTCACAAAACACAACAGCATTTCACAAAACACCACAGCATTTCACAAAACACCACAGCATTTCACAAAACGCCACAGCATTTCACAAAACACCACAGCATTTCAGAAAACACCACAGCATTTCAGAAAACACCACAGCATTTCACATTGGACGGAAAGGGTATTCCTTTAGGGAGAACACTTCTTGTTTGTGATTGGACAGAGCCAGCCAGAGAAGCACTGCTGTGATTGGTTGTTTTTGCTGCCAGTCAAGAAATGACGCTTCGTGATTGGTCAACACCCGACAGCGAAAATATCCCAACACAGCCGTTAGCACACACTCAGAGCTCACAGCTCCTCATATCTGTTCAGAAACTGGACAATCCACAGACTGTCTGTGTCATGGCGAATACAGTCGCTGCTTTATTTATGTCTGTATGACGTTGTTGTGAGAGTGGACGGAGCAGCTATAGGTTAGTTTAGCCTGATGGATCCGATTCCATTCAGAAAATACGCATTTTAAAAGCTTTTCGCCTGCCGTCTTATCTGCAGACTTGTCAAAGCGTTAATTTATGGTTTTTACTAACCGTTATCAGTATGTAGTTACTTCGGCATCACTTTGAAACGTGTATTACAATTACATCACGGTCAAATATGTTCATTTTGTTGTAGATGGTATCTCCCATAGCATTTACATGGAGATACGCCCCGCCCCCTCTCAGCGCCTCTTGTTTGAATGACAGGAGCAAACACAGCTGACAGCCGCGGTGAAACTCGAGCGATTAGAGCGATGCGAATATTGGGTGGTCTACCATAGTATTTACATGGAGATAAGCCCCTTAAAAACCATGAATTAATAAAGCATTAATTCTGTGTTTACTCCGGTCATTCAAACAACATGCTGGAGAGGGGGCGGGCCGTATCTCCTTGTAAATCCTATCGGAATCGGATCGATCAGGCAAAACTAACCTGTAGCTGCTCCGTCCACTCTCACAACAACGTCATACAGACACAAATAAAGCAGCGACTGTATTCACCATGACGACAGTCTGTGTTTTTTATATGTTGAACTTTTGAACAGTTTCTGAACAGATATGAGGAGCTGTGAGCTCTGAGTGTGTGCTAACAGCTAACGGCTGATGTGTTGGGCCAATCACGAAGCGTCATTTATTGACTGGCAGCAAAAACAACCAATCACAGCAATGCTTCTATGGCTGGCTCTGTCCAATCACAAACAAGAAGGGTTCTCCCTAAGGAATACCCTTTCCGTCCAATGTGAAATGCTGTGGTGTTTTCTGAAATGCTGTGGTGTTTTGTGAAATGCTGTAGTGTTTTGTGAAATGCTGTGGTGTTTTGTGAAATGCTGTTGTGTTTTGTGAAATGCTGTTGTGTTTTGTGAAATGCTGTGGTGTTTTGTGAAATGCTGTTGTGTTTTGTGAAATGCTGTTGTGTTTTCTGAAATGCTGTTGTGTTTTCTGAAATGCTGCGGCGTTTTGTGAAATGCTGTGGTGTCTTGCACTTCAGGGCCACCGTAGTAAACTAACTATAATGAAAATTACATTGTGTTTATTTGAACTGAGAGTAAGATTGCTGTACACATCGTCTCCAGTGGCGACTGGTCATTAGGGCGACTTGTCATTAGTGTCAGCAGAAAGTATTAAAACTAATGATTACAAAAAAAAAAAAAAAAAAAAAAAAAAAAAATATTAAATATATTTTAAGATCATGTTTAATCATCTGATTCGTCTGTACAGTACATTGCTGTTTTAGTCTGTGTTCTTCTAATTAGTGTCTACAGTGTGTGCCTATTGAGCTGTTTAGAGCCATGTGGGACAAAACCCGATCCTGCCCCTCCCTCTCACTGTCTACGGCCCAATCCCACACCACCCCGTCGACCCTACCCCTCCGTGATGGAGTGAACTCCGTCTGTAGCCACACTCGCAGCTCAACGAGGCTCCCTCCTGTCAGATGGAGGGAGTAAACACAGCAGCAAGCTTTGGGACGGCCTCCCCTCTCTCCGGCAGAAACAGGAAATGCCGTAACTGTATGTAACAACGGTTTCAAATCAGCATCTCTTAGACAAAAAGTTTAAATGAATAACTCAAATAAAACTCCAAACATCTTTCATTGTGTTTCAAAGCTCGTTTAGTTTTAAACCTGATGTTTATAAACTTCTTAGTTTTTGCAACGGTCTGTAAATATACACAACTTTATAATAAAATGCACACATTTACCTTTTTCTAGACTAAACACAGGTTTGATCCTAAGTTAAAACATATGAGGTTATCATGAGGTTGTTAACATCGCAGTTTATCAGTGGATATTTGCTGGAACTACTTGTAAACAGCGTGTTTCCTGACGGACACACACAGCGTGACTCCGGTCAGGTAGAGACCGGTCTCAAGTCAGCACCGCTGCAGACTCGTTGCTTTGGAACAGGCTGTCACTACACGATCTGCAGCTCTACCCGATCTGCAGTGCGCATGTGCGAGATGGACAACGCCGGACGGCATCCCAAGTAGGACAACATTGACACAGTGGGTGGCTTTTGGCAAAGCTCAAAAGGAAAACTCGAGAGAGATGAGTTATTGTTATTACAACGTGACTTCACTATTATTTAACAACCCTTTTTATTGGTTTCTTTTATTTGGGGTTAAGTACATTGTCAGAATAAATGAGAAATGAATGTAACTTCTGTTAGACAGCCATATGCCATACATTTTTGCACACATTCACAGTAAATATGTATTCAGTATGATAGCTGTCTAACAGAAGTTAAATCCATTTCTCACTTATTCTGACAATGTACTTAACCCCAAATAAAAGAACCCCATAAAAAGAGTTGTTAAATAATAGTGAAGTCACGTTGTATTAACAATAACTCATCTCTCTCGAGTTTTATTTTTGAGCTTTGCTAAAAGCCACTGTGTCAAGTGTCCATCTTGGGTTGCCGTCCGGAGTTGTCCAATATGGCGGACCATCTCGCACATGCGCACTGCAGATCGGGCAGAGCTGCAGATCGGGTAGTGACACAGCCCTCAATATGGCAGACCCTCCGCGTGAACGCGCAAACGGAGGGGTAGGGTGTAGGGTGTAGGGGGCGGTTTGGGAATGGGCCAGTGAGTCTGCAGCGGTGCTGACTTGAGACTTCCCTCGACAAAAAAGCAATGAGATTTCTCCATATGATTTTAGAAAATAGCTCCAAATAAGATCTGTGGGAAACGTAGCTGTTAGATAAATGCACGTTTTGTTCAGCCGGATAATATCCACATGTCTACCCTACTTTTATCATTTTCGAATCATAAATCTATTGATTAGATTAGATTTATGATAGACTTTTGAAACTACAAGAACATAAGGAGGACTTTTACAAAAAAGTAATAGAGATTTTTGTCCAGAGGGATAGGCAAATGGACTTCATCTTCAAGTCAAGGTAAGACTGCAATTTTATTGAAAATGGGATCTTACTAAGAGAGAACAATTCAATATTTAAATGATAAAATTAAAATTTTTGGGTATCCTTCTGTTGAACTGTCTGTTTAAAATTAATTGAAGCATCAGACAAAAAAAGCTTTTGAAAATAATATTATATTTTGATTTAGGTCAAAATATAATATTTGTAAACCTGAAGAGTCAGTGCCAGTGCCTCACCAGCCATGAACCTCACTGCAGAAGCTTATATATAGACATCTACGTTTTTTGTGCCCCACCACTTTTGTACATATAAAAACGCCACTGATTGTCTCCAATAAAATATTTAAGATTTACCACCGTTTTTTTAAAGCAGGAAAATAGTGGGGTTTTCAGCCCTGAGTAATGTCTACGGGACAGGCTGCATACATCGCCCAAAAAGCTCTAAAAACCTAACATGAACCTGAAAGGTAAAACTCAGGGCAACACATATCCACTAGACTCAGAATAAATGTATTTGTTTTCATTATAAATGTCCAGCGTTCTTGGTACAGTGCCAACTTTTTGTAAAAAAAAAAAGTGAACATTAGATAAAGGAGATTTGAATACAAATACAAAAAAATATTCCAAGTGATTTCAAGAGAAACAAATGATTTAAGGGAATAAATGAACATAAAAGGGTTTTAGATTTCATTACTTCTGATTGAGATGTGATTCATTAAATGTTCCTTCCCTTTGGAAAATATTCTGAAGGAGAATGTCTCTCTCAAAAATAAACAAAATATGAAAATGACTGAACAGAATCACACTTACTTCTCCTGAGTCGTCCTGTCAGCTGCTTCTCTCTCCGTCTCTCTCGATGTGCTGGTGAAGACTCAGATATCGACGCAGTCGCTGCTCTCTTTGGGCAAACATTTGAATATTAAAATTCAGATGTCAAAGAGGTCTATCATGGTGGATATAGGATCCATTGATGGAAAGAATATCAATTACATGTAACAGGGAAACAAGTTGAACACACTTCCTTGTTGACTGTGACACACGGAAAGAAAGGTACCGTTCCAAAATATGCACTAATGATAACTATTGAATGTTTATATTTTGTTCGGATATTGCTTGTTAACATATGTCGAAAACTTTAATGGAACATTCTGGCTGTATTTGAGCCCCTCATATTACAAGTGTGTCAATATTATTTGAATTTCAGTCACATAGTTTCTTTATTCTGAAACACAAGTCTTATCTCTTTGTTGTCTCTATTCTGATGAGTCTGTCCATCCAGCTACTTCATTCCTGTGAAGGCTATATCTCAGGAGAACGTGAGGAATTCATTCAAGTCTTGCACAATCTTCCACTTGGATTCAAGGATGAATCCATTTCTGTCACATGTTTGACCTTTGATTGTGGTCAAGAGGCCAAAAGTCTCTGTGACCTCACAAAACACGATTTGTGGCAGTAACAAGAATTATTGTATTGTAGTGTAAGCCACTGTGGGACACCAAAACACATTTTTTAACGACTTGATGTGGAACGTTTTGAAACTACTGCCTGATTTCTACAAGAAAAATAGTGAAAACAACCACTTATTTAACTGGTAGTTATCTAGCTTCACAGATCATTAATTATAAATATAAATATACATAATACAGTAGGGGTTACGGACTGATCCAGGCAGGCCATGTACAGAGCACTCGGTCAGTCGCTGTGTGGCACAAGAAGGCTCCCGGAAAGATAACATCACATTTAATTGAACATATGTTAACAGCACAACAAGAACTGCTCTTTACAAGTCAAATGAGTGCACGCTATGGTTTGCAGCACACCTAAAAATACCTATCCCATATTTTTCTCCTATCTGAATAACTCTGCCATGGCAACAATCACTGTGTCCACCTTTTTAATACAATTTGGCATCGGTGTTTTCATGTCCTTATTCTGATATAGAGGCCTAAATACATGTTTCACCTGCTGTATATTTCATGTCTAATACAAAGCCTTTGACTTAACTTAAAGAGAGCAAGATCAAAATAACTCATAACTTCCTTCCTGTGTTCTCCTAACACTTACAAGCAGCTCAACTGTTGAATAAATATTCACACCAACGTAGTGGTTTGAGATCTCCCAACAATTAAAATGATGAGCAAATGATAATGCAGGGTTTGGTCTATTAGTTCAAAGGAAGAGAAATCCTACCGCTTACGATAACACTTGAATTAGAATTACTGCACACACAGGTACACAAACTCACACCAGAAGTAAACAATGCTTTGTTTTTAATCATTTATTTCTAGCAATTGTTCTTTATTCACTTTTCTTATAGTGGGCAAATCCCAACGACAGCAGGCACCGACAGAAGAGCTGGTTCGAGTGCGTCCTCTAGTGTTGAAAGATAACCACAACAACAAAAACATCTCCCACTTTTATGACTAATTCCTGTTTTACTTACGGTGCATTTTAACAAGCTGTATATTCACTCTAAAAAAAATCAAGAACTAAATCTCTCAGTGAACTCAAACACAGTCCTCATTATGTAGTTTGATTTGTAAGAATGACAGCTATGGAGAAATCCTTTTCAATTACATAGCCATACATTACATGTGTTTACTGTCAAATAATCACCTCTAATGTAAATGTAAAACATGACTATTTAAAGCCAGTGGACGAAAGAACCACACCTTGTTTTTGGGTCAGATCGTTTATTCAGTTTTAGACATCCAGTTAAAACTCCATTAAGGTAAATATGACAAAAATAGTGATACACACATTATAACCATCACCACATTTCAACCAAAACGTAAACAAATTCTGAAAAGCAAAACATTATAGATTTGTCTTTTAATATATTTTTTCTCTCATAAACATAAAAGACAACAATTCAAATGAAGAGTACAGGTTTCACACTTTAAGAGGATAAATATATGCATTATATCAATAACTACTGCAACAAAACCATATCATAAAGTAATTCAGATGTTCACAGAGGCAAAAACATGTTACATTTAGTGTCGCCCCTTTTTCTCCATTTCTAATCCTCAATTAGTAGTTTAGTTTCTCCCCTCTTCAGGTTGTGATTTCTATATTTGAACTAGAGCCATTCAATAAACCCAGAGAGCAGATACATATTAGAGAAGAGTGAGCTTGTTGCAGTAAATATACCAATGGGTTTATATAGCGCAGATGAAATTAAGAGATTCCCCTTCTCTCCTTTCATACCACTTCCCATCTCTCTTCATGGCTGTAGCCCTGTCACAACCCTCAATCTTCTCGTCTTGGGCCCAGTTGTCATAGCAGACCAGACGATCACTGACCCAGAACCACAGATCCAGAGTGCAGGTGTAGCGCATTCCCAGCCAGACGAACGCAGTGTCGGCCATCTTGGCTCTCTTTTTGACCCATCTCTGCTGGTGACGGTCAGTGATGGAGACCAGGTCACGGTGCTTCTCTCTGCAGTAATCCAAGGCCTCATCCCAAGTCTTCTTCTCTTTGATCAGGATCACTTTGTCTGGCATTTAAATTGATTTTGTTTTTAGTTAGGGTAACTATTTATTGCAGAAAAACTCTCAACTGTAATAATATAGAACCTTTCTTACAATAATCCTTATGTTTTTTAAATAAATAAAAGTCCCCACAAAAGAGAAGTAAATATACAAATGGAATGAAAACCAATGGTAAGGAAATATAAGTCCTGAAATGACGTGGCACCTTATGTAAAAGCCAGGTTAAAAAGATGCGTCTTGAGGACAAAAACATGACGAAATGATGTTCAAACTTTAAGTAAGAATATTATATTCACAGTCTATCGTAAGATTAAGGACAGAATCCAGATCGGTGAATCTGTGTATATTAAAAATAACTTCACAACTAAAGGATCTTCAACATGAATGTAAAAATAAATATATATAAAGACTTGAAATAAGAATACTTTACTTATAGACTTTTGCAAAACTCACCGTCATAGCAGTAGAAGGGTTTTTCCTCTGTGCAATTGTCGGAGCTCCATTTTCCATTTGGCTTGGTAGTCATAGCACAAGTCTTTGAGGCTTTATCTTTAAATGAGTCCTCCCAGTGTCTGAAAGAGAAATTCTTCCCATCTGACCAACTCCAGATCTCTCTGAACAGGCCGATCCACATCCATTCAGAGCTCACGTTTGACTTGAATTCTTCTGATCTGATCTGTGTGAGTCCACTGACCAGGTCAGTGTGATGTTCTCTGCAGTAGCTCTGAGCCTGAAGCCAGTTCTTCTTACCACGACTCAAATGGTATTTCTGTTGCCCTGTTTCTGTGAGAACGAAAAGACACATTTTACTTTTGGTATAATAATGTAGATTGAATAATCAAAAAATAGGCCTATACTTTACCATTAAAGTTTTTAAACAAGTAGAATTGTATCACAGTTACCAATAATGTTTAATGTGAAAGGCAAAAATAGGTTTTAATTTAATTTAACTCTACACACGACGTGAGTTATCTGTCAACTATTGTTACACAGTATGATATCATTTATATAGCATTAACAGTGACATATACTCACCATTGTAGCAGATGAACTTGTGTTCCTTACAACAACTGTAATCGTACCATTTTGAGTTTCTAATATTCACACAGTTCTCAGGATCGACACCTCCATTGTTCGGCTCACCTGAAGCCCATTCTGGCACACATTCTGGCTCACATTCTGGCTCACATTCTGGTTCACATTCTGTATGATTGTACTTCTCTCCCGGCAGAGACCAGTGCCACTCTTTGATATCTGCTTCATTGATGCTCCTCAGTCCGATCCAGGCGTCTGTCTGTGGAGGGTTAGTCTCTCCAAGTCTCCCATGTCAGACACTGTGGCCAAGTCAGTGTATTTCTCTCTGCAATAACTCTGGGCATCATCCCAGGACTTTTCTCTTGGATGAAGTGGTACTCATAGAGGTGACATGTGAAGAAGGAACACTGACCTAAACATAGAGTACATTCTGCAGTGATGGAGCTGACAGTATGACAAGCACTTGATCATTAAATCAAACTCATGAGTACTAAAATCACCCCCACCTCTTACATCGTCCCCTTCATCTTAATAGAGCTCTGAGTTCACTTATTTCACGTTTTATCGTTATGAAGATTGAGCAGTTTCATGACTCCAGATGTGATATCAGTTACAAATCTGATAAGATGATCCACTTACCCATCAGAATCAGCACAAACAGAATCCACTGCATCTTTGCTCTGTTAGATGAAAGCAATATTGTTATTGATCATTTATATAAATTGTATAAATGATGTCAGTTACATTTAAATTATTTTGAGCACCTAATGTTTCAGTTAAATTAACACAAACACAGACTGCACCACTTGCTTCTGTGCAGTAGTTTAATGAAGATGTAAATGTGGAAAATGCAAATTTCGAGCAACACCAGCAGTAACATACGGAGCCCCTAAGGGACATGGGAAAAAAGAGAGAGAAAAAGTCGGGATAATTAAACATTAACCCGCTATCCCGAATTAGTTCTCTCTCTTTTTTTCATTTTTTTTCATGTCCCTTTCCATAATACGAGGCAAACACCGTCAAATGTATTTTTAGCACATGAAAAAGTCTAATATATCATATTCCAATCACTTGTATATATAGACTCTTATTGCACTATTTCACTAATTTACAATTTTTCTTTTTGTATTTACTTGCACTATTTTTTCTGTTTTTCAGTGTTATTGTGTTGCACTGATGGAGGAGCCTGTGACCTAAGATTTTCATCGTCATAACTACACTGTAGCTATGTACTATGAGTCTATGACTATTAAAAGCCTTGATCCTTGAACTATTTGAATGGAACATGCAAACACCAGTTAGAAACTAAACATAACAATATAGTGCCACACAACAACACTGACTTTTTATGTTTGTTTTGTCAAGGCCATTATATTTTTGTGGTTCTATATTTTTTTGTTTATTTATTCACATGTAGTCTACTATCAGAAACATACACTATAGAGGCTTCTCAATACTCAAATTTCCCCTCCTCGACTCCCTTCCTCGAGACTTACCCCCAAAACACACCAGGAGCGTCTGCGCCGCGTTACGTTGCGGCTGCGCCACGCTGCGACCTCCTCCTGCGACAACACACACCAGACGCGTTTCAAAACGTTGCGGAAGCGGAGCGTCGTGTGTGCAGCCTTGCAGTTGTTGTTGATTTTGGAATATTTCCTGGACATTTGTACTTCTACAAGTAAGTAGGCTATACGTAGTTAAATGGTTTATGTTTGTGTCTGTTTAAATCATGTTTATTGTTGTTATTTCCTATTTTGTTGTGTTGTAGACTACAGACACAGTTAATAATAATTGTAATATTCCAGTTATAAACGACATGAATCAAAGATGTGTTGCTGTATTTTAGTGGTAAAAAAATATGCATTCATCATCATAATTATTCTATATATATATATATATCATTTACAGTGCCTGTAAACCGGAGGAGAACGCTGGCATGTATTCTCCTACTTGAAAGACTACGGGGGGATGGGGGGAGGAGTTTACCTTACGGCTGCGCCGCGGCAAAAAAAGGATTCATCCTAATTTTAGAGAAGCGCTGCGCCGAGCCGCTTCTGGGACGCGTCTGAGCCGTAACACGGCGCGTGTGGTGTAATAGCACCCATTGACTAGAGTGGCCGCGAGCCTTACGACCGCCGCGGCGCGGCCGTAACCCGACGCAGACGCTCCTGGTGTGTTTTGGGGGTTAGACCCGCCCACAGGAGATGCGAGCGGAGGACCGAGGAGGGGAACCGAGGAGAGAGGAGGGGAAGCAGCAGACGTTTAAAGAAATGAGAACTCCTCTCCTCTGAGCGGTCATTTTAAAGAGACGTCCGTTCATTATTACGTGGCAACAGCTGCATCAGCTGTCGAGTGTTTTGTCATAGTGCTGTATTTTATAATCTCTGTTAGATCAGCTGAACATTGTTCCCCCACATATTTACTTTGAATTAATTGAGAGTGCGGTATAATGAGACAATAACAGGCTACAGATGCGGACACACACACACAAATATATTTATATAAATATATACAATTTAAAGTATGAGAGCTCAGCACTCTCATAATAACGTAACACAATCAGAGACTGGATATATCCCCCCCTCTCTCTGTCGCTGAAATGGGGAATTGAAATTACGGGCCAAAAGTTGTATTTACAAGTATTAACTTGTAATAATAATAAGCCACTTACAATTTTCCGTGAGATCAGGGAGCAGATATAAGATGGAAGTTTCCCTAACATACAAAGCCATGTTAGGGAAACTTCCATCTTATATCTGCTCCCTGATCTCACGGTGAATTGTAAGTGGCTACTGCCTGAGATCGCATGCTGTGGTTTTATTAAATGTGCCAACTGCTAGGACTGTCTTAGGGAAGACAGCTTTTCGATGCGCAAATCCTCTGTCTTGGAATAGTATGCAAATTAAATGGAAACTGATCAATCTGGTGCCACTAAATGTTTTTAAAGCTCGGTTGGATGCTACTCAATCGGAAGCTGTTGGTACCTGTTTATGTGGATAATTATGTAAATGATGCTGTATGATGTCCTTTTGTTGTTCTATTTATGTTTTTATGTTTCATGTGGAACTACATGAGCAGGTCTCCCTTGAAAAAGAGATCAATGATCTCAATGGGATTTATCTGTATAAATAAAGATTTGAAATTAAATTAAATTAAAAGTAAGCAGAGGACACCAAACCAACTGAGACCCGTCTGTCCGCCGCATCTACGCACTGTACCACACACACCTACATACTGTACCACACACACACACATACACACTGCCTACAACACACACTTACAGCTCCTAAAGCATAATCAGGCTACAGCCGTTGTGTATTTTATTATGTGACGCACTAAATGGTCTTTGAAAAATATCGACTCTTTGTACTACAGCAAATAAAGAGAGTAATGTAGGCCTGTTATACTGAGTGATATTGTACACTGCTCTGCTTTCTGCACGGACCTCACAGCTGTTCTCACTGTAAACATCGCAACGCGATGAAAGCAGTTTCTAAAATAATATCCAGAGGATGCATGCAGAGCTGTCATTGGCTGAGATAAGTCTGGTCGTGCGTCACGCCTCCACCGTTCCCGGAAATGCATCCGTGGAGGAGCCGTGGAGGAACCATCAGTGTATCCTCGGTTATAGCTCCTCCAGAGAGCCTCCTCGACGCTCGATGCTCGGTCCTCGGTGTGCATTTAGAGAAATGAGACGTCCTTCAAAATGGCGCGCTGAAATTCATTTCCAGGTCACTACCGGAGGACCGAGGACCGAGGAGTCGAGGAGGGGAAATTTGAGTATTGAGAAGCCTCTTATGTTTTAGGTGAGGGTGAGGCTTTATGGGTTCTTTAACCGGAACTGAGAAGTAAACTGAAATAAAAGCTTGATTACATTTTGTATCGTTGCTTTTATAAGGCCGATTTAAAGATGTGGGATCCTTTCTTTATTATGGGTAAACTAACTATAATGAAAATTACATTGTGTTTATTTGAACTGAGAGTAAGATTGCTGTACACATCGTCTCCAGTGGCGACTGGTCATTAGGGCGACTTGTCATTAGTGTCAGCAGAAAGTATTAAAACTAATGATTACAAAAAAAAAAATATATATATAAAATATATTTTAAGATCATGTTTAATCATCTGATTCGTCTGTACAGTACATTGCTGTTTTAGTCTGTGTTCTTCTAATTAGTGTCTACAGTGTGTGCCTATTGAGCTGTTTAGAGCCATGTGGGACAAAACCCGATCCTGCCCCTCCCTCTCACTGTCTACGGCCCAATCCCACACCACCCCCTCGACCCTACCCCTCCGTGATGGAGTGAACTCCGTCTGTAGCCACACTCGCAGCTCAACGAGGCTCCCTCCTGTCAGATGGAGGGAGTAAACACAGCAGCAAGCTTTGGGACGGCCTCCCCTCTCTCCGGCAGAAACAGGAAATGCCGTAACTGTATGTAACAACGGTTTCAAATCAGCATCTCTTAGACAAAAAGTTTAAATGAATAACTCAAATAAAACTCCAAACATCTTTCATTGTGTTTCAAAGCTCGTTTAGTTTTAAACCTGATGTTTATAAACTTCTTAGTTTTTGCAACGGTCTGTAAATATACACAACTTTATAATAAAATGCACACATTTACCTTTTTCTAGACTAAACACAGGTATGATCCTAAGTTAAAAACATATGAGGTTATCATGAGGTTGTTAACATCGCAGTTTATCAGTGGATATTTGCTGGAACTACTTGTAAACAGCGTGTTTCCTGACGGACACACACAGCGTGACTCCGGTCAGGTAGAGACCGGTCTCAAGTCAGCACCGCTGCAGACTCGTTGCTTTGGAACAGGCTGTCACTACACGATCTGCAGCTCTACCCGATCTGCAGTGCGCATGTGCGAGATGGACAACGCCGGACGGCATCCCAAGTAGGACAACATTGACACAGTGGGTGGCTTTTGGCAAAGCTCAAAAGGAAAACTCGAGAGAGATGAGTTATTGTTATTACAACGTGACTTCACTATTATTTAACAACCCTTTTTATTGGTTTCTTTTATTTGGGGTTAAGTACATTGTCAGAATAAATGAGAAATGAATGTAACTTCTGTTAGACAGCCATATGCCATACATTTTTGCACACATTCACAGTAAATATGTATTCAGTATGATAGCTGTCTAACAGAAGTTAAATCCATTTCTCACTTATTCTGACAATGTACTTAACCCCAAATAAAAGAACCCAATAAAAAGAGTTGTTAAATAATAGTGAATTCACGTTGTAATAACAATAACTCATCTCTCTCGAGTTTTATTTTTGAGCTTTGCTAAAAGCCACTGTGTCAAGTGTCCATCTTGGGTTGCCGTCCGGAGTTGTCCAATATGGCGGACCATCTCGCACATGCGCACTGCAGATCGGGCAGAGCTGCAGATCGGGTAGTGACACAGCCCTCAATATGGCGGACCCTCCGCGTGAACGCGCAAACGGAGGGGTAGGGGGTAGGGTGTAGGGGGCGGTTTGGGAATGGGCCAGTGAGTCTGCAGCGGTGCTGACTTGAGACTTCCCTCGACAAAAAAGCAATGAGATTTCTCCATATGATTTTAGAAAATAGCTCCAAATAAGATCTGTGGGAAACGTAGCTGTTAGATAAATGCACGTTTTGTTCAGCCGGATAATATCCACATGTCTACCCTACTTTTATCATTTTCGAATCATAAATCTATTGATTAGATTAGATTTATGATAGACTTTTGAAACTACAAGAACATAAGGAGGACTTTTACAAAAAAGTAATAGAGATTTTTGACCAGAGGGATAGGCAAATGGACTTCATCTTCAAGTCAAGGTAAGACTGCAATTTTATTGAAAATGGGATCTTACTAAGAGAGAACAATTCAATATTTAAATGATAAAATTACATTTTTTGGGTATCCTTCTGTTGAACTGTCTGTTTAAAATTAATTGAAGCATCAGACAAAAAAAGCTTTTGAAAATAATATTATATTTTGATTTAGGTCAAAATATAATATTTGTAAACCTGAAGAGTCAGTGCCAGTGCCTCACCAGCCATGAACCTCACTGCAGAAGCTTATATATAGACATCTACGTTTTTTGTGCCCCACCACTTTTGTACATATAAAAACGCCACTGATTGTCTCCAATAAAATATTTAAGATTTACCACCGTTTTTTTAAAGCCGGAAAATAGTGGGGTTTTCAGCCCTGAGTAATGTCTACGGGACAGGCTGCATACATCGCCCAAAAAGCTCTAAAAACCTAACATGAACCTGAAAGGTAAAACTCAGGGCAACACATATCCACTAGACTCAGAATAAATGTATTTGTTTTCATTATAAATGTCCAGCGTTCTTGGTACAGTGCCAACTTTTTGTAAAAAAAAAAAGTGAACATTAGATAAAGGAGATTTGAATACAAATACAAAAAAATATTCCAAGTGATTTCAAGAGAAACAAATGATTTAAGGGAATAAATGAACATAAAAGGGTTTTAGATTTCATTACTTCTGATTGAGATGTGATTCATTAAATGTTCCTTCCCTTTGGAAAATATTCTGAAGGAGAATGTCTCTCTCAAAAATAAACAAAATATGAAAATGACTGAACAGAATCACACTTACTTCTCCTGAGTCGTCCTGTCAGCTGCTTCTCTCTCCGTCTCTCTCGATGTGCTGGTGAAGACTCAGATATCGACGCAGTCGCTGCTCTCTTTGGGCAAACATTTGAATATTAAAATTCAGATGTCAAAGAGGTCTATCATGGTGGATATAGGATCCATTGATGGAAAGAATATCAATTACATGTAACAGGGAAACAAGTTGAACACATTTCCTTGTTGACTGTCTGACACACGGAAAGAAAGGTACCGTTCCAAAATATGCACTAATGATAACTATTGAATGTTTATATTTTGTTCGGATATTGCTTGTTAACATATGTCGAAAACTTTAAGAGAACATTCTGGCTGTATTTGAGCCCCTCATATTACAAGTGTGTCAATATTATTTGAATTTCAGTCACATAGTTTCTTTATTCTGAAACACAAGTCTTATCTCTTTGTTGTCTCTATTCTGATGAGTCTGTCCATCCAGCTACTTCATTCCTGTGAAGGCTATATCTCAGGAGAACGTGAGGAATTCATTCAAGTCTTACACAATCTTCCACTTGGACTCAAGGAGGAATCCATTTCTGTCACATGTTTGACCTTTGATTGTGGTCAAGAGGCCAAAAGTCTCTGTGACCTCACAAAACACGATTTGTGGCAGTAACAAGAATTATTGTATTGTAGTGTAAGCCACTGTGGGACACCAAAACACATTTTTTAACGACTTGATGTGGAACGTTTTGAAACTACTGCCTGATTTCTACAAGAAAAATAGTGAAAACAACCACTTATTTAACTGGTAGTTATCTAGCTTCACAGATCATTAATTATAAATATAAATATACATAATACAGTAGGGGTTACGGACTGATCCAGGCAGGCCATGTACAGAGCACTCGGTCAGTCGCTGTGTGGCACAAGAAGGCTCCCGGAAAGATAACATCACATTTAATTGAACATATGGAAACAGCACAACAAGAACTGCTCTTTACAAGTCAAATGAGTGCACGCTATGGTTTGCAGCACACCTAAAAATACCTATCCCATATTTCTCTCCTATCTGAATAACTCTGCCATGGCAACAGTCACTGTGTCCACCTTTTTAATACAATTTGGCATCGGTGTTTTCATGTCCTTATTCTGATATAGAGGCCTAAATACATGTTTCACCTGCTGTATATTTCATGTATAATACAAAGCCTTTGACTTAACTTAAAGAGAGCAAGATCAAAATAACTCATAACTTCCTTCCTGTGTTCTCCTAACACTTACAAGCAGCTCAACTGTTGAATAAATATTCACACCAACGTAGTGGTTTGAGATCTCCCAACAATTAAAATGATGAGCAAATGATAATGCAGGGTTTGGTCTATTAGTTCAAAGGAAGAGAAATCCTACCGCTTACGATAACACTTGAATTAGAATTACTGCACACACAGGTACACAAACTCACACCAGAAGTAAACAATGCTTTGTTTTTAATCATTTATTTCTAGCAATTGTTCTTTATTCACTTTTCTTATAGTGGGCAAATCCCAACGACAGCAGGCACCGACAGAAGAGCTGGTTCGAGTGCGTCCTCTAGTGTTGAAAGATAACCACAACAACAAAAACATCTCCCACTTTTATGACTAATTCCTGTTTTACTTACGATGCATTTTAACAAGCTGTATATTCACTCTAAAAAAAATCAAGAACTAAATCTCTCAGTGAACTCAAACACAGTCCTCATTATGTAGTTTGATTTGTAAGAATGACAGCTATGGAGAAATCCTTTTCAATTACATACCCATACATTACATGTGTTTACTGTCAAATAATCACCTCTAATGTAAATGTAAAACATGACTATTTAAAGCCAGTGGACGAAAGAACCACACCTTGTTTTTGGGTCAGATCGTTTATTCAGTTTTAGACATCCAGTTAAAACTCCATTAAGGTAAATATGACAAAAATAGTGATACACACATTATAACCATCACCACATTTCAACCAAAACGTAAACAAATTCTGAAAAGCAAAACATTATAGATTTGTCTTTTAATATATTTTTTCTCTCATAAACATAAAAGACAACAATTCAAATGAAGAGTACAGGTTTCACACTTTAAGAGGATAAATATATGCATTATATCAATAACTACTGCAACAAAACCATATCATAAAGTAATTCAGATGTTCACAGAGGCAAAAACATGTTACATTTAGTGTCGCCCCTTTTTCTCCATTTCTAATCCTCAATTAGTAGTTTAGTTTCTCCCCTCTTCAGGTTGTGATTTCTATATTTGAACTAGAGCCATTCAATAAACCCAGAGAGCAGATACATATTAGAGAAGAGTGAGCTTGTTGCAGTAAATATACCAATGGGTTTATATAGCGCAGATGAAATTAAGAGATTCCCCTTCTCTCCTTTCATACCACTTCCCATCTCTCTTCATGGCTGTAGCCCTGTCACAACCCTCAATCTTCTCGTCTTGGGCCCAGTTGTCATAGCAGACCAGACGATCACTGACCCAGAACCACAGATCCAGAGTGCAGGTGTAGCGCATTCCCAGCCAGACGAACGCAGTGTCGGCCATCTTGGCTCTCTTTTTGACCCATCTCTGCTGGTGACGGTCAGTGATGGAGACCAGGTCACGGTGCTTCTCTCTGCAGTAATCCAAGGCCTCATCCCAAGTCTTCTTCTCTTTGATCAGGATCACTTTGTCATTTAAATTGATTTTGTTTTTAGTTAGGGTAACTATTTATTGCAGAAAAACTCTCAACTGTAATAATATAGAACCTTTCTTACAATTATCCTTATGTTTTTTAAATAAATAAAAGTCCCCATAAAAGAGAAGTAAATATACAAATGGAATGAAAACCAATGGTAAGGAAATATAAGTCCTGAAATGACGTGGCACCTTATGTAAAAGCCAGGTTAAAAAGATGCGTCTTGAGGACAAAAACATGACTAAATGATGTTCAAACTTTAAGTAAGAATATTATATTCACAGTCTATCGTAAGATTAAGGACAGAATCCAGATCGGTGAATCTGTGTATATTAAAAATAACTTCACAACTAAAGGATCTTCAACATGAATGTAAAAATATATAACTGAAGACTTGAAATAAGAATACTTTACTTATAGACTTTTGCAAAACTCACCGTCATAGCAGTAGAAGGGTTTTTCCTCTGTGCAATTGTCGGAGCTCCATTTTCCATTTGGCTTAGTCATAGCACAAGTCTTTGAGGCTTCATCTTCAAATGAGTCCTCCCAGTGTCTGAAAGAGAAATTCTTCCCATCTGACCAACTCCAGATCTCTCTGAACAGGCCGATCCACATCCATTCAGGGCCAACTTTTGACTTGAATTCTTCTGATCTGATCTGTGTGAGTTCACTGACCAGGTCAGTGTGATGTTCTCTGCAGTAGCTCTGAGCCTGAAGCCAGTTCTTCTTACCACGACTCAAATGGTATTTCTGTTGCCCTGTTTCTGTGAGAACGAAAAGACACATTTTACTTTTGGTATAATAATGTAGATTGAATAATCAAAAAATAGGCCTATACTTTACCATTAAAGTTTTTAAACAAGTAGAATTGTATCACAGTTACCAATAATGTTTAATGTGAAAGGCAAAAATAGGTTTTAATTTAATTTAACTCTACACACGACGTGAGTTATCTGTCAACTATTGTTACACAGTATGATATCATTTATATAGCATTAACAGTGACATATACTCACCATTGTAGCAGATGAACTTGTGTTCCTTACAACAACTGTAATCGTACCATTTTGAGTTTCTAATATTCACACAGTTCTCAGGATTGCCACCTCCATTGTTCGGCTGACCTGAAGCCCATTCTGGCACACATTCTGGCTCACATTCTGGCTCACATTCTGGTTCACATTCTGTAGGAATGTACTTCTCCCCCGGCAGAGACCAGTGCCACTCTTTGATATCACTTTCATTGATGCTCCTCAGTCCGATCCAGGCGCTTCTATTAGTCAGTCTCTCCACGTCTCTCATGTCAGACACTGTGGCCAGGTCAGTGAAATGCTCTCTGCAATAACTCTGGGCTTCATCCCAGGACATTTTCTTTCTAATGAAGTGGTACTCATAGAGGTGACATGTGAAGAAGGAACACTGACCTGAAAACAGAGACAATTCTGCAGTGATGGAGCTGACAGTATGACAAGCACTTGATCATTAAATCAAACTCATGAGTACTAAAATCACCCTAACCTCTTACATCGTCCCCTTCATCTTAATAGAGCTCTGAGTTCACTTATTTCACGTTTTATCGTTATGAAGATTGAGCAGTTTCATGACTCCAGATGTGATATCAGTTACAAATCTGATAAGATGATCCACTTACCCATCAGAATCAGCACAAACAGAATCCACTGCATCTTTGCTCTGTTAGATGAAAGCAATATTGTTATTGATCATTTATAAAAATTGTATAAATGATGTCAGTTACATTTAAATTATTTTGAGCACCTAATGTTTCAGTTAAATTAACACAAACACAGACTGCACCACTCGCTTCTGTGCAGTACTTTAATGAAGATGTAAATGTGGAAAATGCAAATTTCGAGCAACACCAGCAGTAACATACGGAGCCCCTAAGGGACATGGGAAAAAAGAGAGAGAAAAAGTCGGGATCACGAGACACTAACCCGCTATCCCGAATTAGTTCTCTCTCTTTTTTTTCATGTCCCTTTCCGTAATACGAGGCAAACACCGTCAAATGTATTTTTAGCACATGAAAAAGTCTAATATATCATATTCCAATCACTTGTATATATAGACTCTTATTGCACTATTTCACTAATTTACTATTTTTCTTTTTGTATTTACTTGCACTGATGGAGGAGCCTGTGACCTAAGATGTTCATCGTCATAACTACACTGTAGCTCTGTATGTATGACAAATAAAAGCCTTGATCCTTGAACTATTTGAATGGAACATGCAAACACCAGTTAGAAACTAAACATAACAATATAGTGCCACACAACAACACTGACTTTTTATGTTTGTTTTGTCAAGGCCATTATATTTTTGTGGTTCTATATTTTTTTGTTTATTTATTCACATGTAGCCTACTATCAGAAACATACACTATGTTTTAGGTGAGGGTGAGGCTTTATGGGTTCTTTAACCGGAACTGAGAAGTAAACTGAAAGAAAAGCTTGATTACATTTTGTATCGTTGCTTTTATAAGGCCGATTTAAAGATGTGGGATCCTTTCTTTATTATGGGTAAACTATAATGAAAATTACATTTTGTTTATTTGAACTGAGAGTAAGATTGCTGTGTATACACATCATCTCCAATAAAACATTTAAGATTTACCACAGTTTTTTTAAAGCAGGAAAATAGTGGGTTTTTCAGCCCTGAGTAATGTCTACGGGACAGGCTGCATACATCGCGCAAAAAGCTCTAAAAACCTAACATGAACCTGAAAGGTAAAACTCAGGGCAACAAATCTCCACTAGACTCAGAATAAATGTTTTGTTTTCATTATAAATGTCCAGCGTTCTTGGTACAGTGCCAACTTTTTGTAAAAAAAAACATTAGATAAAGTTTATGATTCAAAATGAAACATTGAGATTTGAATACCAATACATAAAATATTCCAAGTGATTTCAAGAGAAACAAATGATTTAAGGGAATAAATGAACATAAAAGGGTTTTAGATTTCATTGCTTCTGATTGAGATATGATTCATTAAATGTTCCTTCCCTTTGGAAAATATTCTGAAGGAGAAAATCTTTCTCAAAAATAAACAAAAGATGAAAATGACTGAACAGAATCACACTTACTTCTCCTGAGTCGTCCTGTCAGCTGCTTCTCTCTCGATGTGCTGGTGAAGACTCAGATATCGACGAGGTCGCTGCTCTCTTTGAGCCACCTTTGGGCAAACATTTGAATATTAAAATTCAGATGTCAACGACAGTGGCGAGCCGTGACTTTTATACCTAGGCCCAGGGCCGTATTCATGGAGTCAACATTGGGGGGGACCAAAAATTCAATACAAATTTGAATACTAATTTCCTGCCATTCTAAAGGAAAATACATAAAAAATCACTAACACATTGGATACTTTAAAACCTGTTAAACCCCATGCCCCTGCCCGTGGGGGCAAAACACAACAATAGTCACAAAACTGTGTCGTGGGTGTAGGAAGCATCCTCAATGTGGGTGGGACAATTTGACGGGGGGTGTGGGCGGGCGGGGGACCTAACCTCCTCTAGGGGGGTCCGGGGGCATACTCCCCCGGGAAGATTTGTTTTTAAATGTTGAAGTTAAAAGCATCAATCTGGTGCACTTTGAGAGCAACATTAGGGACTAAATCTATGGATACATCTTAACAACACCCATGTGAAACAGAACTGAACAGATTTACTTTTTCTTTATGCATATTTTACAAATCACTCCCTTTTTAAACTGTAGTATGAGTTGGAATGATTTCATACCTGTTATTCTCTTATTCTCTTATTTTGTATAACTATAATGATCATATAAAGGTGTGCCTTGGAAATACTTGTTTTGCATCAATCTTGATACAGGGTACTTATTATATGTTATAGTTTGGATTCCTAAAGCTTTTAGTCTACTATCCCATCATTCAAGGCTGGTTTTCACTATAAGTAATGGTTTATTTTTTGCACGGACACTATCATTTACATTTTTTTACTATGTTCAATCTGAATTTACTTTAAAAACATCTATATTGATTCTGACTTTTTCTACATCCAACTCACAGGTTTATCATTGCTTTGAGAAAAAAGATTATTCATTTAACCATTTTTAGAAGTGAAGATATAGTCAATTGTTCTGGGAATGTCATTTTCAAACCTGAGACCTGAAAAACAGGCTTGGGGCTTAACTATGGTTACATTTTTTTACCATAATGTCTAATTGTGCATTGTATTACATCGCCCTATTTTATCTAGTTTAGCTTGTTGTTGTTTGTAATGGCAGAGATTAGGGATGAATAAAGTACAACTATAACCATAATCACATTAAAGCATTTCAATCCATAGAAAGGTCTATGCCACGCAATTTCAGTAGAAACAGGAACACTTTATTGCCCTTTTGTTTTACAGCCACGACTCGCACTAGCTGCTTGCCGCTCATTCAAAATCAAAAAGACCCCCAACTTCCTCCCAGATACCCGCCCAAAAAGCCCAACCCTCAAGTAAAGGACCCAAAAGCCTTTTTGCGCTTATCGTTGGCACTGATAAAAGACTGGCATATTCCTTCAAGGTCCAGTCTGTCCAGTTTCTTCTGGTGCACATGACATATGGCCACATTATTCAGCCTCGTTTGACTCATCGATGATCTAAGCCATGTCTTCAGGGCACTAAAACTCCTCTCAGCCTCTGCAGAAGAGGCAGGGACGACCAACAGAAGCCTTACTAAAGCTTCCACCTGACCGAAGAGACCTCTCACCTCTGGCACCATTTACCGAATAATGCTAGCAACATCTGAGCTTGCTTCATAGGTGTAATTAGCCCCAAACATGGCCAGCTGCACCTGCAGTAGTCTTGAATTCAATTCAGGATACTCTTCTACCACCTTGTCCATGTCTCCGTGTAGCAGCACATTTTCAAGCTGCTGCAGCTTGTGGAATCCAGCTTGTTCAAACCTCTCTATGAATTGAGTATTCACTGTGTCCAAGGCATTGTAGAATTTGACTCTGTACAAGGACTGGGCATCGGGATGGATATGGGCTGCAGCCTGACCGGTGTAACGCTTTGTAGGTTTGCGGACATGAGGGATCTGAATTGGTTGTAGGTCCAACTTTGTTGACACAGCAGTTGCTTTCGAGAACAATACATCGGTCTGTTTCCTAAGCTGCAGGGAGGTGTTCAGGCACTCCAAATCCCCCATCAGGTCTTCAGCCATTAAAAGGCCGAGCACAGTGTTCCCTTTAAGAAATGTTCCATGAAGACCATTGGCCTTGGCTGAAGTTTCAGGTGAGCTGCATGATGCCATTTCTTCAAGGGCCATCAGCACTGACTCATACTGCTGGAGAACTGAGCGGATGGCAGGGGTACGTACAGTCCACCTGGTGGGACAGAGAGGTTCAATGAGGTGAAAGTTGAACCATGCTCTGATTTTGCGATATTCTGGAAAATCAACTTGAACTTGCCAGATTGATTAAAGAAGCCCCCCAATTCATGGACCAGACCCATTGCATCTCTTACTAGTGGAGAGGCTCCACATGGCAGCCTGCGTAATTAAGTTCACGCAGTGGGGACCACAGTGACAATACACAGCCAGCGGTTGTTCTTTCCTTAAAATGGCTTGTACTCCCTGCAATCGTCCAGCCATGTTTGCGGCACCATCATAAGTTTGTCCTCGGAGTTGAGACAGAGGAAGCTGTAGGCGCGTCATCACATCACATGCCATCTTGGCTATATTTTGCCCTGTTGTTGATGACACTTGGTAGATTCCCAGGAATTCTTCCTTTGGTTGTAGATCTGCATCTACAGAGCGCACACATATTGACTCCTGCTCAACTCCTGATATATCTTGGGTGCCATCAATGATAATTGCGAACTGGACCACTGGCATTGATGTTATTTCCGACACAATTTCTTTGATGATTGTATTGGCCATCACCTTCAACAGTTCGTTCTGCAATTCCGGACTGGTGAAATCGAGGGGACCTTTTAGCCAGGAGGTCAGCTCTGCATCGCCCGTTGCCTTGTACTTTAGAAGCTGGCTTAAATTCCCACTCTCCTTCTGATCGCCTCGAAAAGCCAGACCTTGCCGCGCCAAGTACCTCACACCCTCAACAATCTTCATCAGATTTCTTCTTGCTTGTTGCTGCCGTCTTTCAAGCTCACGTGAAAGTTGCACATTAACAGGCTCTGGCTCCTGAATCCTAGTCATCACAGCTAATTTGTGACACTGGCTGTGTTTATGCACACTAAATTTCTCCAGTGCCTTCTTCCAATTGTTAAAACCAGTCTTGACAAACGCTGAATCTGCTTTTGACGCAAGCTTAGACTTTTGTGCTGCAAAGTATTTAGCACAATAGAAACAGAGGACCCCTTTTACAGAGGGGCTGTAATGGAGCCATGTATGATCTTCAAACCACTTCTCCTGAAAGTAAAGTATTCTATTTGATAGGGTTTGACTGGGTATGACTTTCACATTTGGATGATTTGGGCAAAGTCCAAGCTCCTCCCCTTCCTTTCCTGTACCTTCATTTTCGCCTGCCTGGCTGCTCTCTCTCTCATTGTCAAACTCACTCTCCCTGCTTGATGGTATTATCTGAAATACATATGAGGATGATCTCATCTTAAATTAACATTAACATTAGACTGCTATGTTGTCATTATTCTGTCTTAACCATCAATATAGCTCCTTTCTGACTTACCTCCATGTCACCAGCGCACACTCTCCCTGTCTAGTCCCCATGCTCACATTCTCTCTCTCCCTCTTTACTCTGAACACACCAGAGTGAACATGGAAGAAATATTATCAGTAAACAAGCTATCTGACTGGTAACAATACTCACTTTCTCACTGCTCTTAACTTACTTTTTTTCTTTTCTGAGGCTGCCCAAAAAACTGTCTAATGTCACTGCCACCCTTCCTCTTGCTCATGCTTACAGCTTGACCTCGGCGATCTGCAGTTGCTGATGTGATGAATACGGATCAGCAGTGCTGGATATAAGATAATTAAACATGTTTATTAGCAATTCTGAGCGTTCTAAACCCAGCACAAGCTATGATGCACACTGCAAACCTCCTGCATGTGAGTATCTTTTAAATGCTTCTGACGATTATGAAATACTATTTCATAATAATTGTAGAGTATTTATTATTTAATTAATTCTGGCACCTTTGGTATTCCATAAGTGTCACACGTCACAGTTTTAAATCTTTCCACACCCTACAAATGACAAAATAAAATAGAAATAATCCACATGAATAAATATCTATTGGATTACATCCAAAACGACACCGTCATTTTCCACATAGCTGACACTAGCCCGCCAAACCCTGGCTAACAACTGAAACCAGCTAGCCCACAGCTAGTTAGCTACTATTCCTGAAAAGTTCGGTTTTAACATCAGAACTACAAGTTATTTACACAAAGAAGCTAAACCGGAGGGTTCATTAACATTACCATTACGAAATAAAATAATATAGATTACTTTAGGGCTAACTAGAAAATATACCAGAACTGATGGAGGGCAAATTAAGACATGACTGACCTGCGTGACCTGGAGCATCAAGCTAACTGAAGGTGGACTCAGACATGCAACAGCGAAATACAACCCCGGGTACAAAATAAGGAACCAATTTACATATGAAAAGAAATATCATTTTGGTGAAGTTCACAATAACAGAAAATATAGATTTTCAATTATACAAATAACCAAAATAAATATTTTAATTAAAAAATTAAAATTGGGGGGGGACATTTTGAGTGTATCTGAATATTGGGGGGGATGTGTCCCCCCCCAATGTATATGGTGAATACGGCCCTGCCTAGGCCCTCTGACCCCCCCCTTCCCTCGAAAAAAAAGAAGAGTTATTACGTCACAGCGTATACTTCAGCGGAATATCAAAACAGCGGCCCAGGGTGCAAAACGCATCAATGACAGCGACCCTCTACCACACAAAACAACACCATTTATATAAACACCTATCATGACAGGGCACCCACTGCCAAGTAACAATTACAAATGAATTAAGTCGGCATGGCGGCCCACATTGAAAATGACTTAGGCCTACCTTTGATGATAAATCACTGAAACACAAAGTCCATCCTCCTGTCCTTTTGGATGAAGCACTTGATGGCGGGTCATGCAGCTGATCCTTTACCACTCCAGTTTATCATTGTAACTCAATCTTGAAAATGACTCGGTTAATAATTTCGCAACGATGTCATCACTATCACTGAAGTGAGCCATCATGAACGAATTTATGCTATTTATAAATATATCGACCGTAAATCTATCGATTAGATTTATGATTCAAAAATAATAAAAGTAGGGTAGACATGTGGATATTATCCGGCGGAACAAAACGTGCATTTATCTAACAGGTTCGTTTTCCACAGACCTTATTTCGAGCTATTTTCCAAAATCCTCTGGAGAAATCTCGTTGCTTTCTGTCGAGGGAATCTGAGCGAAGCTTACTTCCGGGTTTTAGGACGCGTCACTGCACCACTTGCATAGACCTCACAGCGGGCGGAACTTGTCATAAAGTCCGCGAAAATAAAGCCCGCCCATTTAGAGGAAAGATATGATTGGTCAATTGCACTGTCATTTGACATTACTCTCTCGTTGAGTTACTATAGCGGGCCCTCTGTGAATGTAGAGAGGGACCAACAAGCCCTTCTATGGAGTCAGATTTGGGTCAATATTCTAGCGCGTAAAACAATCTACTCACGAGCGGAAAATGTGCTTTTACACGCGCATAAAATGACTCGCGCGCAGATTAAACCCCCGCGAGCGGCTCTGCGCCCGCGAGCGGCTCTGCGCTCGCTCGCGAGAGAGACAGCCCTCTTGCTTGCTCGCGGGAGTGTCAGCCTCGCGGAGTCTGTCTACGCGCGCGTGAAAAGTTTCTGGCACTTTGGGGCGGAGCCACTGGACTTTGATTGACAGCTGCCAGGAAACCCGGGGTTGCCAGGTTTGATAAATGCCTGAACTACCAAGAGCCGAGCAGTGACGGCAGCAAAATCTAGGTGCGTACAGCAGACAGTAGCTAGCAGTTTTCGACGGACACAGCCCACTGAAAAATATATTGTTTTATATCAAATTAATGTATATTACATTACATTACATTGCATTTAGCTGACGCTTGTATCCAAAGCGACTTACAATAAGTACATTCGACCAGGAAGACACAACCTTGAAGAAAACAGAATCATATATATTACCTGTACACTTTACGAATATAATAGTGTTTTATGGACAACTTTACCATTCAATCTCGTCCAACTGATTTTGCTGCCGTCACTGCTCGGCTCTTGGCAGTTCAGGCATTTATCAAACCTGGCATCCCCGGGTTTCCTGGCAGCTGTCAATCAAAGTCCAGTGGCTCCGCCCCAAAGTGCCAGAAACTATTCACGCGCGCGTAGACAGACTCCGCGGCTGTCTCTCTCGCGAGCGAGCGCAGCGCCGCTCGCGGGGGTTTAATCTGCGCGCGAGGGTCATTTTATGCGCGTGTAAAAGCACATTTTCCGCTCGTGAGTAGCTTGTTTTACGCGCGAGAATATTGACCCAAATCTGACTCCATACCTCCCGTCTTCACATAACTCGCAGAGACGGCAATTAACCCTTCACATTCCAACAGAAACTGAACAGGCAGATTCGAAGGATTTATTTCTTTGGAAATATTATTTTAAATACAATTAAATCAAGTTATTTTGGTCAAACTAATTAAAAATGTAACAACAAAAAAATATTTAATTTTTTTTTTTTTTAAATATGTTTTTTTTTTAATGTTTTCAAATATTATTTTTTAGAATATCTTAGGCCCTCACAGAGGGCATAGAGGGCCCTGACGGCTCGCCACTGGTCAACGAGGTCTGTCATGGTGGATATAGGATCCACTGATGGGAAGAATATCAATTACATTTAACAGGGAAACAAGTTGAACACACTTCCTTGTTGACTGTCTGACACACAGAAAGAAAGGTACCGTTCCAAAATATGCACTAATGATAACTATTGAATGTTTATATTTTTAATATTTTGTTCGGATATTGCTTGTTAACATATGTCGAAAACTTTAATGGAACATTCTGGCTGTATTTGAGCCCCTCATATTACAAGTGTGTCAATATTATTTGAATTTCAGTCACATAGTTTATTTATTCTGAAACACAAGTCTTATCTCTTTGTTGTCTCTATTCTGATGAGTCTGTCCATCCAGCTACTTCATTCCTGTGAAGGCTATATCTCAGGAGAACGTGAGGAATTCATTCAAGTCTTACACAATCTTCCTCTTGGACTCAAGGAGGAATCCATTTCTGTCACATGTTTGACCTTTGATTGTGGTCAAGAGGCCAAAAGTCTCTGTGACTTCACAAAACACGATTTTGTGGCAGTAACAATAATTATTGTATTGTAGTGTAAGCCACTGTGGGACACCAACACATTTTTTTAACGACTTGATGTGGAACGTTTTGAAACTACTGCCTGATTTCTACAAGAAAAATAGTGAAAACAACCACTTATTTAACTGGTAGTTATCTAGCTTCACAGATCATTAATTATAAATATAAATATACATAATACAGTAGGGGTTACGGACTGATCCAGGCAGGCCATGTACAGAGCACTCGGTCAGTCGCTGTGTGGCACAAGAAGGCTCCCGGAAAGATAACATCACATTTAATTGAACATATGGAAACAGCACAACAAGAACAAAGACTGCTCTTACTTGACTTTACAAGTCAAATGAGTGCACGCTATGGTTTGCAGCACACCTACAAATACCTATCCCATATTTATCTCCTATCTGAATAACTCTGCCATGGCAACAATCACTGTGTCCATCTTTTTAATACAATTTGGCATCGGTGTTTTCATGTCCTTATTCTGATATAGAGGCCTGAATACATGTTTCACCTGCTGTATATTTCATGTATAATACAAAGCCTTTGACTTAACTTAAAGAGAGCAAGATCAAAATAACTCATAACTTCATTCCTGTGTTCTCCTAACACTTACAAGCAGCCCAACTGTTGAATTGATATTCACAAAAAGTCGAACTTTGAGAAAGGGCTAATGCCAGGTTTGGTCCACTAGTTCAAATAAAAGGAAATCCAAATGCTTCAGCATACGATAACACTTGAATTCGAATTACCACACACACTTGCACAGATACCCACAGGACCACACATTATGATGGATAATGTCATAGGGACCCCCTAGATCAGGGGTTCCCAACCTTTTTTCCCCAAGAGCCCCCCCAAATTACTCCTTTTGGAAGTTGCGCCCCCCCCCCACACACACACACAAGGGGGGGAGGGGGGGGCGCAACAGCGGTAATTAAAGTTTATAAGTCTCAAAATGCTACAACTACTATCACAAACTGAATGAATGTGACATATTTTGTTAATGGAGGATGAAAGCGTAATTAAGGAGCACTATTGGAGTGACTTTGATGGTTATTGGACTCAGGATTCATTAATTTAGATTCCCGCTGTATGAAGAAATTAAAGGACGGCGCGGAAGTGGAAACAATTCACAAAGGGATTAAACTGTTTAAAACACATGCTCAAAGTAAGCCGGATTTTGCCGATGTGTTTATGTGGATTCAAAAGTCGTAAATAATCTACAAAATGGAGGAGACCGATCTGATCGGAGCAACTGTGACAAATAATCCAACTGAAATCGGCATGGACAATGACTATGTTTTAAAAATGCGCTTATCCAGACAAGCCTGGTTTGGACACTTTACGCGCAGAAGAAACATTTCTATTATATTATATTGTTATTATTTATTATAGAAAAAATTATGCATTTCTGTCTTTTTATGCCTTTATTAGCTACTAACTTCAATTTTTATTAAAATTAATTAATCAATTGTTTTTTTTCGTTTATTGTAATGTATACAATCATGTATTGTGTAACAATTATACATTAAAAAAAAAGTCTAAATATGATATTAGGCCTCAAATCATCTGAGGCCTGGCGCACCCCCTGCGATTGTTGGCGCCCCTCAGGTTGGGAACCACTGCCCCCTAGATCACCACAGATATTTCTACCCCAAAAAATAAAAACTCATGCCATAGATCAGGGATAGGCAACTTTGATGGTGGTGGGGGCCACATAATTGGTTTTAAGAAAACTAAACTTGTTTCGCCAAATTCAGATGATAAATACAACTTTTATGCTTGTAAAGGCATAATTACAAGAGGCAATTTAACGTCACAGCAGGCATAATAACAGCCGGTGTTTCTTGTAAGGGTTTCCCTGGGAAACAAACAAAATACACACAAATGCGTCACAGATGATTTCGCGGTATTTGAAATCATGTACGCAGCTCGCGACGTAACTAGGAGTCTAGTGGACGGTATCAGTACTACAAGTAAAAACATATATATTTTTTATTAATTACGTTGTTTATAAATTAATCTGAGGGCCGCACAAAGAGGAGGTGGGGGCCGCATGCGGCCCGCGGGCCGCCATTTGCCCAACCCTCCTCTAAGGTATGATTCATTAAAGCAGTAGTAATGGATATTTTGACCACTTGGGGGCCGTTGAATAAGCTCTACAGATGGTTATTAAAATATTTGTGTTGTCAAATTAATAAATTCTATTTAACAAATGTTTTATTAGAATGTTATTTTTCAATTGTTTGGAAGATATAAATACATGTGTTATTATCATCCCAACTACAGCAGGCACCAACAGAAGAGCTGGTTGAACGGCGTCCTCCAATGTTGAAAGATAACCACAACAACAAAAACATCTTCCACTTCGATGACTAATTCCTTTACTTTGGCGCATTTCCACTGCAGGGCCTCGCACGGCTTAGTACGGTATAGTTAGGCCTTGGTAGGCCAGGCTCACTGCTGCGTTTCCATTACAGTTTAGTCATCTTCAATGCGAACCACAGAAAACCAACATCAGCCGTTAGCTGTTAGCACTCAGAGCTCACAGCTCTTCATATCTGTTCAGAAACTAGACTAAAGTTAAACAAGTACAAACTTCAGATATTCATTGCTATCAGGATGTTAAGAGCATTCCATGGAATATAACAAAAAGTGTATCTCGAGCCGGTTTCTCAAATTTACCTACCCCACCTTTAAACCGCGCTCCGCGCTGTAGTGGAAATGCGCCATGCTTTTTGATAAACTGCACGTTCTATTTTAGTGGGAATGCATTCCCACTAATCTGTTTTTCTACGCACAACATTCTTTATTTTTATTTCACCGGGTTTTTTTGCCCCTCTTCTGCTCCCACATTCCACATCGCAGAAACTCCGTTCAAACATCAAAACGTTCAGCTCGGTCGGGAATCGATTGCTATTACTTTTCTCATTCATAATTTTCATAATTCCCGAGATGTATCCCATAATTCATCAAATGTTTAACATGGAATCAATGGAGAAACTCTTCAGACTTAAAAAATCTTCATGCGACTTCAACTGCTAACTGTTCCTTCATAAATTCACTCAGAAACCTCATTCCAACTTTAAAATGTTACACATCTTTCTGACATTATTCATATTAAACTACTTTTAAATCAGATTCATAGTTTTAGAAATATTAAACATTGTTCAAACCTTGGTAAAGAGGCCTTCTTCAGATTTTAACAATGTGTATTGCGCAGCTCGTTAAGGCTTAGAGTGCGTGATGTCACTCGTAGCTTGAAAAATAAATAAAAATTAAGCAAAAATAATTAAACAAAATGCCTCTTGAGGGCATGAAGTGACAAAATCTTTCAACATTAAGGCCCATTGTTTCAGGCTTTCAAATTCAGGGTGATCTTTCCTCACAGCAGCAGCCTTTAGTTAATCTGCCAAAAAGGCCACATTATGAACCCGAAAGTACACAAAAAGTACACTTCAGATGCTCAGGGTGCTTGAGATGCTTCACGCGTTGCAACTTCACTGATATCTGTTACGGTTCTTCAACAAAACTTTCACATGTAAGAGGTTTATCTCTCATTCAGAACAATGGAAAGGCTCTCCTCTCACTGATTACTGCACATCACCATGGAAACCTTTAATCTCTGGGCTCAAGCACAGGTGTTTCATAACGTCGTTAGCTCAAACATAAACACCTGTGTCGTGGAACACGATGTCATAACTCCAACTGACATGCTCAGAACGCCACCAAACATCACATGATGGTTAACACTAACGCCCTGAACATCAAATCTGATGTTAGGTAATGTGGTGTTACTATGGCAACGCATCCCTCGCCATAAAACATGATGTCGCTGTAACTCCAATGGACACGGTCCAATCGTCCCCCAATCTTCACTTGTATATCACCGGTCCATGCCTCAACAGCTCTAAATCTAAATCTGAGATCTCACCATATGCCGTTTCCATAAAACACGATGTTGTCGTAACTCATATGAAAATTGTCAAAACAGCACCAGATTTCAGATGATGGCTAATGGTCCAGCCTTCAACATGTCTATGAGCCATTAGTGAGTTTTCCTCAAAAGCTGTTGCCATGGCAACGCATCCCTCGCCGTAAAACACGATATTGCTATACAGTAAGTCCTATGAAAATCGTCAAAAGGTGCTGAAACTTCACGTGTGCTAACAGTCCAGCCGTGACGACATCTATGTGACAGTTTTGAAATGTCTTCAAATGTCGTTGCCATGGTAACAAGGCTCGCCATGAAACACGCTTTTCTCATAACTTCAGTGAAAATGCTCCTAACGGCCAAAACCTTCACAGGTTTGGTAAAGATGCAGCCATCCACACATTTAAAGGAGACCTATCATGCTATATGTGAATAATATATTGTAGGGCCATACCTGGTATATTTATACGTTTTTATTTTCAAAATACCAAACAGATCATGCATTTTAGCCATGCCTCATTTTCCTCTCCTCCACCCGTCTTACGGCCCGTCTACACTACAGGCGTCAAAAAATGCTTTCAACGCTTCGTCCATTCATTTGAATGGGGTGACGTAGGATATTTTCAAACTTCGCCGAACTGCATTGTGGGTAGCATGGCAAGGCGTTGCAAGCATCGCGAGCGTCTATCGGCGTCAAAAGTTGAACAATGTTCAACTTTTGAGGCTCGATGCTTGCTCGAAGCTGGCGTCAGCCAATCAAATCCCGTTTTTGCAATTCCCGCCAGTACAAGCGCTAGCCAATCAAACCGCGTGCAAGCTGGGAGAGCCAGACCGCAGTTCATTTCCTCATATTCCAAACGAGAAATTACGGGAGCAAATCACCCGGTTCTTTCCGACCAGAACTATTTACCGGGATACAAACCGGAGGAACCAGGCATGGAGGGAGGTGGCAGAGACAGTGGGTGAAACTGGTAGGTTTTCACCTGTTTGGGGATTTTATATCCAGTTTACTTCGTTTTAACATTGCTATTGCTTTGTATGTCGGGGGCGGGAGATTCATGCGATTGGTTGTTGGTCGCCTTGGGCGCGAGAAATCGCCAAGCCTCAGACACGCCCAGCTTCAAGCTTTTTCGATGCCTGTAGTGTAGACGGGCCGTTAGCATGCGCTGCAGCTGACCACGCCCCCCTGCAAAGGAGGGGGCCGAGTTACCACGCTGTTACCATGCCACGGCAACCTCTTGATTGGTGGAGAGATGGCCATATAGGCGGAGCTCCTCGTCACTGACGTCAGACTATTTTCAAATCTGGATCAGTCTGTATCAGATCCGTTAAAGCCACGTTTTTAGAGATTTGGGTATGGAGGAAAAGAGAGATGGTTGTGTTTTCTGACACTTGGTGAGTTCCCTGACACACCGGGAACACATATTCATGTATAAAAGACGTACAAAGGTGCATTTTGCATGATAGGTCACCTTTAAGCATATTATGGGGTGTCATCAAATGCCGTTGCCATGGCAACAGGTCACTCGCCATCAAGTTAGTTCAAAAGTTCGCAGTTCAAATATTCTGCTGCTTTTCCAAGCCTTTTTCCTTTCTTCCTTCTCTCATCACACATTCAAGCCCCCAGTGTTCATGTATCATTTCAATCTAAATTCTTCACTTTCTTCTTACACATTACATTTCAGCAGAAAGCATTCCCACTAGCAATTTCTTCAGGAATTGCTTTCTCTAGTTGATTATTGTTTAAACTTTAAATTACATGCATTAATATTAAGTAAGAGATCATTATTACAGTGCTATGACATTATGTTATGGTAGGAATTGCAGCACATATATCAGCCAGTAAAAACACATTATATATATATATTGGCATTTTATAATATAATCATTACAATGTGATGAAATAAAAGCACCATCAGTCAGTTTCTTTCAAAATTGCTTTATTTCTTTCCGTATTTTTTCAAGCATATTTTTTATGATTCCATTTTTTATATTAATGTAATTAAAAAAAGATAAAACTTGGGATCTTTTTTTGTCTTTATGTACAAAAAAAAAAAAAACATTTAGGAAAAAAAACTATGAACATAAAAGAATCCCTGCACGATAACACTGTAAAAAAAAAGAAGCATTAAAGTGGAATCACACACACCTCCAGTTTACAGTTCCTAACTTAAGCCACACACACACACACACACACACACACACACACACACACACACACACACACACACACACACACACACACACACACACACACACACACACACACACACACACACACACACACACACACACACACACACACACACACACACACACACACACCTCTCCAAGTGACATTTCATCAGCATGCAGTGTAGTGGTACTTTTTCGACGGCCAATAATATGGTTTCATTGTCGACCTCTACACCGTCTACTCGAACATGATATTATTGACATGCGGTCCAACGTGGGCGTCGATAGTTTCCTCATTGTTAGTTTGATTTTGGTTTTCCTTGACATCAAAAATCATAACCGTGTCGGTACCTTTAAGGAACCAATTCCTATTTCCATCCTTGTCGTTAGCAGAGCACACGGCTGCTGTTCAGATTAGGGTACGTGCCACTTGATGAATGTCTTTCTGACATCTGTCGTCATGAGGTTATGGAGAAGAGAAAATAAGCTCATTTTAACTGAGAAAACAAAAAGATTGAGGTGAAAAGTCATAATAATAGCTCATCATGATGTATTTCTTAATATGTCAGATATTAAATTAAAAAAGGCCAATACTGAGTTGTAATTTTGTCTCACAACTATGACTTTTGACGTGTTAAGTCATAACTCGGGCTTTTTTTGACTCAATTTCTTTACTCGATAAGTCAAAATAGCATTGGTTGAGTCTTTTATTTTTCCACTTTCTTACCCTGGTGAAAACGAGCTTTTATAGAACAAATATGTACGAAAAAATGTATTCTGAGGTCAGTGCATAAATAGTGGTTATGCAAAGAAAATAGGCCATTATTGATAGGAGAAATGTTACACTTTCAAGTAAGGTCACATTGATGCTTCACTGAGGCTCCTCACTTCCTGTTCATGTGGTATTATAATAAACTTCACTGTGTCCTCAAGGAGACAAAAAATAATAATCCAGACACTCGGCCTACTCTCAAACACATCCAAAATACATTCTGTACAAAAAGACACCCTGAGTCTCATCATTTCGCTGCATCTCCTCACATTCGCTTGTCCACCGCCACCAAAAAAAACACAACACTGGTCCCCTTCTCCAACAGACCGCACCCCCCACAGATGGACAACACACACACACTTACACACTTGGCTGATCACTCTTATTATTTGTCTTCGATCGTGGAATTGTGTTGGCATTTCTGTAGCTTGACATAAGTGGAATGGAAACCCTAAGGATGAAAGGAAAAGGTTTCGGGGGGCTGACAGCCAATGAGAGTCTCTCCTTTTGCCCCCTCGCAGAGCTCCCCCCCCCTCCCTTCACTCGCTTCTATGTGATTGGCTGCGTCTTTATCGCTTCCTTGGTTTCGTCCAATCAGGAGTAGATGGTGATGACTTCACCTCCTCCTCCTCTGACCAATAGGACGCGCTCCAGCCCTTCTGTCAGGACCTCCAGGAACTCCATGTCTGGTCCCAAAGTTAAGGAGTGATAAGGCTGAAGATCATGGAGTAAGAAGGGGTAAAATGTTAGGTAAATATTCGTATTATGGCGCAGTGTCTCCTGGAGGAAACTCATGAGCCGCTTTCACACCAAGTACTTTGCCGTACTTAGTGCCAGCACCCCCATGGCACTAAGTACAGATATTATGCTCCGTCTGTGTTCCTAACATTCATCTGAATGCAACTTACAAATAATGTATCTAATATATCATATTCAAATGACTTGTATAGACTCTCCTTGCACTATTTCTATTCTATTTTATTTGTATTACTTGCACTATATTATCTGTTTTATTGTGTTGCACTGTTGCAGGAGCCTACGTTTTTAATTGGCATATCTACACGTAGCTGTGTGCAAATGACAATGAAAGCCTTGAATCTTGAACATTCATCAAGTTTCTGAAGCTTTTAAACCATCAAACAACCCCACCTGATGAAGTGAAAGCATCTTAAATATCCTAAACGATCAGAAAACCCCTCAGATTTTAAGGATACAGTTCTCGTCTCCGTCCGTGTTCCTGGGCGGCCCCGGCATGTTGAGCAGGACCAGCCGGGCATCGTGGGATTTATTGACGATGACCTCGTTGAGTTTCACCGCGGTGTGCATCCGCCTCACGTTAGAGTGATCCCTGCAGGAGAAAAACAAGACACACACTTAACAACGTGTTTAAAAGAACTACAAAAATGGCTGACTGTGGGTGTTTTCCGCACTCACGGCCTCATGCTGAGCATGTCTCTGAATCCCTCTGGAGTGGAGCATCCAGAGTGAGCCGCTCGGTACTGAGAGCTCTTCTCTTTGGTCCAGGTCATCTGAACTCTGCGGTGATGTTCGTTGCTTCCTCTTCCTCCTCCTCTTCCTCCTCCTCTTCCTCCTTCTCCTCCTCCATTTCCATTTCCTCCTCCAGCGTTTGAGGCTCTTTCTCTCTCTCCTCCGTCAGTATCGTCGTCATCGTCCGATCCGAGGCTCGTCAAACGCAGCATAGAGTTTCTGTCTTTCACCGCCTGAGCCTGAACACACACACACACACACACACACACACACACACACACACACACACACACACACACACACACACACACACACACACACACACACACACACACACACACACACACACACACACACACACACACACACACACACACACCACACACACACACACACACACACACACACACACACACACACACACACACACACACACACACACACACACACACACACACACACACACACACACACACTTATTCTTCTACATTCCTGTTCTCCCCTCTCTCCTCTCTCGTAGTCGGGGTTGAGATACACCGAAAGACAACACAAGGTTAACTAACTTACTAACAGGAAACTCTATCAGGAACACCGAGGAAAACTACAGGGACACGTCTGAAGAATAATATTAAGAAGAAGTGAGAATTGAAAAGGCTGTATAATGACACCAATTACAGAAAGGCATATTAATGATATTAGATATATATTATTATATATTTGAGACTGTTATTTATGTCCTAATGTGTGCATATGTATAAATGTGTCTGTTGACTGTGTATATAATAAGTTTATACATATTTTTTGTGTATATATATATTTGTATTTCGATGTCTCTGTCTGTACACACAAACTTAAAGATTGACTTTGATAATAAAAAGTATATTTTGGACCCAGATCAGCATATGTTAACTTCATTATCGGATACATTCTTAATTGAATCTTTCAGATAAAAACATTTTAAGAACAGATGAACGAGGATTTGAAGCTAGAGTTGAACCCTTGTGCATCAATAAAGACATTTAAGGTTTTTAACTGAATATTTACGGCTAATGTGTAAATGCATAAGGTATAGATTTAGATAGTCTTACATTGTGTAGCCAACATACAGACAATGTCTATTTGATGTTGGTTAAAAAAGTAAAGTGGAAAAAATATATATAAATTCAGTGTCTTGGTCTAAGACCTAAACGTTCATTAATACTTATAATAGAATTGGTTTATTGATTTAAAAAGGTTGCATAAAAACAAGCACTCTTATTCTGTGTTTTCCTTCTGAAGGATTCAAAGGCTCTCACTGATCTAAAACTATGGGATCAAGGAGACCTCTTCATTTGAATCTAAATGATTACAACACACCTACTGCTTTACTAACATGAAACTTACTTCATCAAAACTCCAGCGGTCCCTCTGAGGAGACCAGTGTGCAAAGGAGATGAACTTTAATAATGAACCTGGTATTTAATAAAGAATCACGTCTGTACCGAGTGTCCTTTGGGGAAACATGAAGTCACCTGGTATTACCTGCTATAAGCTCATCTCTCTGTAATAATGTCTAATTATTTAGCCGATATAACCTCCTCTTAGAGCGGTATATAACATTTAAGGGGAAATGTAGTTTTTGAAATACAAGGAAAGCAACAAAGTATGAAAGTAACATAAATAAATAATAGAAAGAACATTAAATAGAAAGTATACACAGCTTTTGGAGACACATGATATGACACATGACAGTATTGATAGCAGCAGTCAACCAGTCTACTTAAACATTGTATGGCAGGCTAATATGTGATCAATAATATCAAAGAAAATGACTTATTTAATATTGTACATTCCTAAATTAATCTGAGACAACAATATAACATCTGTAATAAAGTCAATTGCTTTTATCTGAACACATTTACAAGAATATAGTTTCTTTAACAGATATTCTATGATGAAAACACTGCCTGAATCCCTTCACATTTGGACTGTAATGAGACTGATGACCTCCCGCTGGCCACTGACCTCACCTGAGACTTCGCAGCTCCACCTGCCTCCGTCCTACTGCTGCTGCTGCTGCCGCCAGGGTGTCCCTGATCAAATGATGCACGACAAACACATCAGACAAACCGTGCACACAACTGTTACATCAACATGTGTCCCCTCTTCTCCATGTCTCTTCTACATCAGCATGTGTCCCCTCTTCTTCATGTCTCTTCTACATCAACATGTGTCCCCTCTTCTTCATGTCTCTTCTACATCAACATGTGTCCCCTCTTCTTCATGTCTCTTCTACATCAACATGTGTCCCCTCTTCTTCATGTCTCTTCTTCATCAACATGTGTCCCCTCTTCTTCATGTCTCTTCTACATCAACATGTGTCCCCTCTTCTTCATGTCTCTTCTACATCAACATGTGTCCCCTCTTCTTCATGTCTCTTCTACATTAACATGTGTCCCCTCTTCTTCATGTCTCTTCTACATTAACATGTGTCCCCTCTTCTTCATGTCTCTTCTAAATCAACATGTGTCCCCTCTTCTTCATGTCTCTTCTAAATCAACATGTGTCCCCTCTTCTTCATGTCTCTTCTACATCAACATGTGTCCCCCCCTTCTTCATGTCTCTTCTACATCAACATGTGTCCCCTCTTCTTCATGTCTCTTCTACATCAACATGTGTCCCCTCTTCTTCATGTCTCTTCTACATCAACATGTGTCCCCTCTTCTTCATGTCTCTTCTAAATCAACATGTGTCCCCTCTTCTTCATGTCTCTTCTAAATCAACATGTGTCCCCTCTTCTTCATGTCTCCTCTACATCAACATGTGTCCCCTCTTCTTCCTGTCTCTTCTAAATCAACATGTGTCCCCCTCTTCTTCATGTCTCTTCTACATCAACATGTGTCCCCTCTTCTTCATGTTTCTTCTACATCAACATGTGTCCCCTCTTCTTCATGTTTCTTCTACATCAACATGTGTCCCCTCTTCTTCATGTCTCTTCTACATCAACATGTGTCCCCTCTTCTCCATGTCTCTTCTACATCAACATGTGTCCCCTCTTCTTCATGTCTCTTCTAAATCAACATGTGTCCCCTCTTCTTCATGTCTCTTCTAAATCAACATGTGTCCCCTCTTCTTCATGTCTCCTCTACATCAACATGTGTCCCCTCTTCTTCATGTCTCTTCTAAATCAACATGTGTCCCCTCTTCTTCATGTCTCTTCTACATCAACATGTGTCCCCTCTTCTTCATGTTTCTTCTACATCAACATGTGTCCCCTCTTCTTCATGTTTCTTCTACATCAACATGTGTCCCCTCTTCTTCATGTTTCTTCTACATCAACATGTGTCCCCTCTTCTTCATGTCTCTTCTACATCAACATGTGTCCCCTCTTCTTCATGTCTCTTCTACATTAACATGTGTCCCCTCTTCTTCATGTCTCTTCTACATCAACATGTGTCCCCTCTTCTTCATGTCTCTTCCACATCAACATGTGTCCCCTCTTCTTCATGTCTCTTCTAAATCAACATGTGTCCCCTCTTCTTCATGTCTCCTCTACATCAACATGTGTCCCCTCTTCTTCATGTCTCTTCTAAATCAACATGTGTCCCCTCTTCTTCATGTCTCTTCTAAATCAACATGTGTCCCCTCTTCTTCATGTCTCCTCTACATCAACATGTGTCCCCTCTTCTTCATGTCTCTTCTAAATCAACATGTGTCCCCTCTTCTTCATGTCTCTTCTACATCAACATGTGTCCCCTCTTCTTCATGTCTCTTCTAAATCAACATGTGTCCCCTCTTCTTCATGTCTCTTCTAAATCAACATGTGTCCCCTCTTCTTCATGTCTCCTCTACATCAACATGTGTCCCCCTCTTCTTCATGTCTCTTCTAAATCAACATGTGTCCCCTCTTCTTCATGTCTCTTCTACATCAACATGTGTCCCCTCTTCTTCATGTCTCTTCTACATCAACATGTGTCCCCTCTTCTTCATGTCTCTTCTACATCAACATGTGTCCCCTCTTCTTCATGTCTCTTCTTCATCAACATGTGTCCCCTCTTCTTCATGTCTCTTCTACATCAACATGTGTCCCCTCTTCTTCATGTCTCTTCTACATCAACATGTGTCCCCTCTTCTTCATGTCTCTTCTACATCAACATGTGTCCCCTCTTCTTCATGTCTCTTCTACATCAACATGTGTCCCCTCTGTGGAAAGAGACTCTGAAAGTTTCAGGAACAAAGATTCTCTCTCTTTTTGATCCATTTCTATAAAAACCTGTCTGAAAATGAGCTGATCAGATTTTGGCCACTTTATGATGTCATAACGATGTTTTGTCTTGTGTAACCATTAGCCAATCAGCAACCAAGGTAACCCCCCACCTTATCACCTGAATCTCCTCCTAGAGCACCATTGTGTTCTTTTTAACCAAATCTCTCTCAAAGGGGCGTGGGGAGGGGCTCCTTATTTTCATCTAAAGTAACAGACATGGGGCTTTCACACCAACGCGGTTCCAGGGCCGGTTCGGAGCTAGAGCCTGAAAAGCACCGTTTTTTCCTGTTCACACCGCAGCGGATCCGGCTCTAAGCTGCGAAACCCGGTGCTTTAGAAATATATAAAAGCATTTATTTTAATTGTGCAGCAGTCAGTTTATAATTTTGGCAGCACTGTTGAGCATTTTGAAAATGTATTTTCATGCCTCTGTGCAAGGCTTAGTCTTTCTATCTGTATAGCCACTGGTGTAAAGTAACTAAGTTCATAAACTCAAGTACTATACTTGGGTAACATTTTGAGATACTTGTACTTTATTTAAGTATTTCAATGTTTTGCTACTTTGTACTTCAACTCCTCTACAGTTCAGAGGTACATGGTGTACTTCAACTCCTCTACAGTTCAGAGGTACATGGTGTACTTCTACTCCTCTACAGTTCAGAGGTACATGGTGTACTTCTACTCCACTACAGTTCAGAGGTACATGGTGTACTTCAACTCCTCTACAGTTCAGAGGTACATGGTGTACTTCTACTCCTCTACAGTTCAGAGGTACATGGTGTACTTCTACTCCACTACAGTTCAGAGGTACATGGTGTACTTCAACTCCTCTACAGTTCAGAGGTACATGGTGTACTTCTACTCACTACAGTTCAAAGGTACATGGTGTACTTCTACTCCACTACGGGATAATAACACCAGGACTCGTGGACACTGCCTCAAGTTGAAGAAACAGTACTCAAGACTGGCTATCCGCCGCAACTTTTTTAGCCTGCGTGTGGTCGACTTGTGGAATGATCTGCCAGAAAGCGTTGTCACATCCAAGACGGTTAACTGTCTCAAATCCCGCCTCGACCACTACTGGTCAAACATCACCTTCACTTTGGACTATGTGACTGTTGCCAGCATCCATAGTAAATAAAGAATCAGTGATCTACTTATTTATTTATGAGCGACTAAAAAGCCTTAGGCCTATTACAGCCGTATCCTATTGATTGATTGACTACAGTTCAGAGGTACATGGTGTACTTCTACTCCACAGGTACATGGTGTACTTCTACTCCTCTACAGTTCAGAGGTACATGGTGTACTTCTACTCCACAGGTACATGGTGTACTTCTACTCCTCTACAGTTCAGAGGTACATGGTGTACTTCTACTCCTCTACAGTTCAGAGGTACATGGTGTACTTCTACTCCTCTACAGTTCAGAGGTACATGGTGTACTTCTACTCCACTACATTTCAGAGGTACATGGTGTACTTCTACTCCACTACAGTTCAGAGGTACATGGTGTACTTCTACTCCACTACATTTCAGAGGTACATGGTGTACTTCTACTCCACTACATTTCAGAGGTACATGGTGTACTTCTACTCCACTACAGTTCAGAGGTACATGGTGTACTTCTACTCCATAGGTACATGGTGTACTTCTACTCCTCTACAGTTCAGAGGTACATGGTGTACTTCTAGTACTGCACTACAGTTCAGAGGTACATGGTGTACTTCTAGTACTGCACTACAGTTCAGAGGTACATGGTGTACTTCTACTCCACTACATTTCAGAGGTACATGGTGTACTTCTACTCCTCTACAGTTCAGAGGTACATGGTGTACTTCTAGTACTGCACTACAGTTCAGAGGTACATGGTGTACTTCTAGTACTGCACTACAGTTCAGAGGTACATGGTGTACTTCTACTCCAATACAGTTCAGAGGTACATGGTGTACTTCTACTCCACTACATGTAATACCTTTAGTTACTTAGATGTGGATGAATGATGTGAAATCTAATCAAGTGTTGAATCAGACTTTAGTTCCACCTGGAGTAAATCCACCAGCTACCCTGCAGTATACAAAGTCATTCAAACTAGCTGCACCTTTACCAGCTTTGAGAACACTTTCATGATCAATCATTATAAAACATATCATATATATTATTCTGAAATGGACCAATCTGCACAATGACTAATTTTACTGTCGCTACTTTCACTATATTTTGATGATAATACTTTTCTACTTTTACTTGAAGAACATTTTTGAATGCATGACTTTTACTGTAACAGAGTATTCCTACACTCTGGTACTTCTACTTTTATTAAGTACAAGATCTGAGTTCTTCTATTAAAGTACAAGATCTGAGTACTTCTACTTTTATTCAGTACAAGATCTGAGTACTTCTACTAAAGTACAAGATCTGAGTACTTCTACTTTTACTCTAGCACAATATCTATACTTATACCACCTCCTATGAAAAAAACCCATTAGAAAACGAAGGCTAATGCTAACGTTAGCAGATAGTGACAATGTATGCTAGCTAGCTAGCTCAACGATTCCTTAAATGATATTAATAATAATAATAATAATGCATTACATTTTTTTATTAGAGCGCTTTTACAGGTGCTCAAAGCGCTTTACAAGTACACATTACACATATTAGACATGTAAGAGTCATAACTGCGGACATTACCCACAGGAGCAAATGCGGGTAAAGTGTCTTGCCCAAGGACACAACGGCCTGACGCAGTGGCGGCCGAGGCGGGTTTCGAACTGGAGTTCACCAACGCCCCTTGATTTGATATTGCGACAGAAAAACGTTTCAGTTCACATCACGCTCTGCCGCTCCGACAGGGAGCTCTGCTCTGAACACCTGAACGGCCCGTTCTAACAGCTGTTCACCAGCGGCTCAGTCTGTGCCACAGTGACTCCGCACAGTTAACGAACACACCGTAGCTAATGTACCTGACCCTCATCCCGGAGAGGCAGAGTTCAGCCGACAGGCAGGAAGACTCGAGCACACAGCTCGCGCTTCATATATTAAAAAAATAACACCATGCGCGTCATGATGGCACATAACTCGCGACCGCAGATTATTTCGACGATTAGATAACATGTAAATTATATTTGACGCAACTTTAGTTACATTTCCATGACTTTTCCAAAACTTTGGGAAAAATATTGTTTTCCATAACTTTTCCAGGGCCTGGAATTTGCATTTTGAATTTCCATGATTTTTCCAGGTTTTCAATGACCGTACGAACCCTGATAAAAAAAAACACACTTTATAAAGTCAGGCAACACTAACCAGGCTTCGTGTGATTCTGTTTATTTGTACCTTTAGTTCAGTGGTTCTCAAACTTTTTCTGTCAGGCCCCCCCTTTGGAGAAAAAAAAAAGTCGGGCCCCCCCAACACAAATAGTCAGGCTCAGTAGCTCAGGTAGCTTGACGTTTCATAGAGGGTGCTCAAACATTTAGGGTTTCCCATTAATGTACTGGTCGCTACAGTGGAATTTTCTACTGCAACATTCCCCACGCATATACACAATGTACCCGCGACTGTTACAATGAAGGCTCGATAATCAGCTCACGGCATATAGGTGTAAGCAGGGGTCAAGTGCTATTTTTATAGGTGGTGTGTGGACCTCACATAGGGGGGTCCGGGGGCAAGCTCCCCCGGGAAGATTTCATGTTTAAATATTGAAGTTAAATGCATCAATCTGGTGCACTTTGAGAGCAAAATGAAGAGATCTATGGATACATCTCTCAACACGTAATAATACTATACTGCATCATATTATTTTCGAATCAATAATTTTTAAAATTATGATTTTTTTTTTTTTTTTTTAAATCTTTTTTTTTTTTTAAACCATTTTTCCTCCTGGTCTCTCGCGCCCCCCCTGGCATGCCTCTGCGCCCCCCTGGGGGGGCGCGCCCCCCACTTTGAGAACCACTGCTTTAGTTTGACCATCCGTTCACTGTTATTGATCATTGTGGAGAGAGGCAGACGTGTTGTTTTGTATTATAACAGCTATCAGATGGAATCAATACATGGGCTGCACAGGTTGTCATGTCCGACTATCACAAGTAGAATCATAATGAAAAGATCAAATGTGCCTGTAGAAAATGGCTTATGCCACAATAGGATAGCAACGAGTAGTCAAGATAGTGAGATTAGCTTCGGTTGCTATGCCAACATCACCCATTTTATACCAGAGAAACGTTCATAACAGCGTTGTGATGCCCAGTCGGGCTGAAAAGAAAAACCGGTTCCGAACCAGAAAAGCACGGAGCTAGAACGGGAACCGCGTTGGTGTGAAAGGGGCAACAGAGAATCAGCACTTTTGAACCAGGGCTGAAACAGAGGGGATTATGGGTAATGCTGCAATGATCTGTTTGGGGTTTGGAGCTAAACGCTTCAGAGACATGTTTTGTATCTGAGAGCTATAATATATTGATGAAATGTAATCTAATAGGGGACCTTTAATAATGACCCAAATACTGATGAAGAATCACTCAAAACATCGTGTTATCTACCCCTCTAGGAAACTACAGATGCATCACTGCATTGACTGTTTACATGCACATCTACACCCTTTTTCTTTTTTTAAACAAGAGGATATAAATGTGATTGTGAGTTCAGCTTACCTCTCTCTCCCGGTCAGATTTGGACAGTCTCATCTGCCGGAGCATCTGAGATCTCTGCTCCATCATCAGAGTCCTCTCGTAGGTGTACGCGCTGATGTCACTGTCATGCTGAGAGAGAGAAATCATAAAAACATTATTATTCAACTGTTAAAGGAAATGTCTCAGATTTGTATTTGTACCGATAAACATTGCAGATTTGTAACTTGAGTAAAATCCTACATCTTATAGATTTTCTGTTTTGTGTAAAATGTCTTTTTTTCACTTAAGTATTAAAAAGCTTTTCTTTTCTTTTTGTACACACACAGCTGCTTCATTAGTTCTCTTGAGTCATGACAGAACCATTCACTGCAAGAATAGGAACCTAAATTAATATACATTTTATTTAAAGAGATTTTATAAATATTCAAAGACACATACAGGATAAAATATCTAAAAACATGGTTTAAATAATATTATCTACACATTAACCTGTTAAGCCCCGAGCCTGTTTTTCAGGTCTCAGGCTCGAAAATGACATTCCCAGAACAAACATATCTTCCCTTCTAAAAGGGTTACATTAATCATCTTTTTTCTCAAAGTAATGATAAACCTGTGAGTTGGATGTAGAAAAGTCAGAATCAATATAGATTATTTTTATTTAAAGTAAATTCAGATTGAACATAGTGAAAAAATGTAAATTATAGTGTCCGTCCCAAAAAAAAAAAGACTTATAGTGAAAAGCACCCTTGAATGATGGTAAGGTAGACTAAAAGCTGTAGGAATCCAAACTATAACATATAATAAGTACCCTGTATCAAGATTGATGCAAAACAAGTGACATTTTACCTTTTTAGAGAGGTTTAGCAACAAAAAACCCACTTCTGGGGTCATTTGGGTGGATTTGCCATTTCTCTGGAACCATTGGTCGATTTTAATGATTGACACCTCTTTTGAATCGTTAGAGCCAATAGAATCGAGGGAAAGTTCCTAAATCCAGCCACACGTTACCATCGAGGAGTGAGAGTGATGCGCACGCAGCTTGCCCAAACCGAAAGCTATGTTACGCTCTGAAAACTCAGTTTATTGACAAAAATGTTATGATGGATTATCAGTACAGCGTCTGAGGGCTGTTTCTTGCAAGGTGTTGCTCAACAGGTTAAAAGCACCTCAAAAAGACGAGAAGCTCTAAAAGAGGGGAAATACATGACTGGACTGTTGTGTCTACAGGTGTACAACTATTGTCATGCTTTGAGTATTTTGCAGTCAGGTAACAAGAGCTGAAACCACGGGAGTCGGTGGAACTGAATGTGTGCAGATTATTCATATTATTACCCATTTTTCCATCTCTACACTCTGGTTTTCTTGCACATTCACAGTGAAGGGAAACTCATGTTAATACTATTATTTAAGTGAGTAAAAATGTCCTGATTAACCACGCCAGCGTACCATCTCAACCACTTCCACCTCAGCCTCGATGCGGAGGTGATACAGGAAGGTTGCCAGATCCTTCTTCATCTGGATGGAGTTATCCTCCATTTGGGCCACGGTGAAGATCCTCATCCCACACTTACGCCACACCTGAGGAATATTTAACACATTCAGCAATATTTCCACTAAAGGAGGGACATTTTAAAGCAGGGGGGTCAAACGCAATTCCATGGCGGGCCACATCAGCATTCTGGTTGCACTCAAAGGGCCGGTTGAAACTTTAAGACTATTTAAATATACATATATGAATATTTGCTGTAAAGTGTCTCTCCTGTAGGCTAATTTTATTATATGTACAGCACTTTGGCTCGACCAAAAATCGTTTATAAATGTGCTATATAAATAAAACTTGATTTGATTTGATATAATATATATTAAATAATGTATTATATTACATTATTGGCTCTGCATTGGATTATTATCAGTTCTGGTAATAACTTCATAAATAACTACGTCTGAAAGCAGAAGTCTAGGGCAAACAATTGAAAGCAAATATTCAACAATTACACCAATTTTATGTATTTTATATTCTTTGCAAGCTCATGCGGGCCAAATAAAATGAGGTTTTTTGCCCGCCGGCGTGAAGTGTTTGACACCCCTGTTTTTTTCTTTAGACTTTTGTTTACAAGGCTGAACCAAGACACATTTGATGTTCAGCACAGTAGCTGATATGTGTGAGCTTGAAGTCAAATGAGGGATGTCACTAAGTCAAATTACTGAATGGTTAATTCTACATTAACCAAATTGATAACACATCTAGATTCCCCTTAACATAACCTGGTATATACATTTCAAACATTGTTGACTAAAGGGAACATTATGTTCATTTGTAAAACGGCAGCAAAATCCTACATTTGAGTTGACAGTGATTTTGTATCTCAGCACATCGTAGCTACTGTTATTAATAAATCCGTTCTAGATCAACATGCTTTGACAATTATTTGCTTTCTTAATCTGGCAGCATGTCAACTCATACATCATGATTCAGACACCTATGAGAAAAAGACAGCTTTGCATTACAAAAGGGGAAAATGGGAACAGGAGGTGGGATGGGAGTTTTTTTTCTTAAAATACAGAATAGATGGCGACCCCTCCACTGCCCCTAACAGCAGCCAGGATACTGCATTTCCAGATGCTAGCACACAATAAGACACCCCTGTTTTAAAGTGTGTGTAACCACAGATGCTACCTTGTGTTGGCGCAGCAGGAAGGGCAGCAGCATCAGCATCCCCCCGTCGTGGACGATCCACCACACGTCGATGTAGCCCTCGCTGCAGGGCTCGCTGTTGTTGGGGAACAGGGAGATGTTTTTGGGCACCAGCAGGGCCAGGTGGGCTGCTGTGGTGACCCGCACCGTGTCTGAGGGAAGAGAGGGGGCGCTGTTAGGATGAGAAACTGAGAAGCTCAAACTCCAAGCTCAGGGGAAAGCAAAAACCAGGGCTGCCCCCAATTAGCCGACTAAACGGTAGTCGGCGGAAAAAGTATTTGTCGACTAATTTTCCATTAGTCAATTAGTAGTCAATTAAACTACATTTAATTTACATTTCAAAGGTTCATTATTAAAGTTTTATTTTATATTTGCTGTGAAGCACAACGTACCATGCTGTTATAATAACGCTCTTTGAAACTGAAACCATCTTGGGAGAAAAAAATAAATATAATAATAATCATAATTTATCATAAACGTGCGACGATTGGTCGACTAATCGCCTTAATTGACGACTAGAAAAATCTTTAGTCGAGGGCATCCCTAGCAAAACCCTCTTTTCTTTGACATTTCAAACATGTTCCCTCCTCTTGCACTCACTGATGAAGGTCTTCCAGGCCTGAGGGTCCTCGCTCTGCCTCCAGGCGTGAGGCCAGCCCATCACCACCGTGTTGGGCTTCATTCCTCCGAGCCCACTGGACTGGATCATGTGACTGATGCCTTCCCGGGGCTTCTGGGCCACGATGCACTGACAGAAGCCCTTCACCCGCTCCTTATCCATCAGGTGCTTCAGAGTCTGAGACAGGACATGTGGAGGACATTCTTAAGCGAAACTGATAAATGATGATATATTTGTATTGTACAATGCCATGTCTTTTACATTTCCCAAATTGGGATCAATAAAGTACTTCTTATCTCATATTTCTGCTGTAACAAATGTAAATGTCCCCAAAAAAAGGGACTTTTATGGATTTATTTTAAATTGTATTCAGGGTTCATACGCTTTTTCACCAATGATTTTCAATGACTTCTAACTAATTTTCCATGACCAAAGAAATGACTCTTTCTCAGCGTTCCACTGAAAATGGTTTATTTGAACATGGAACAGGAAAATAAGGTCTGCATATGAAACATGTTGTGCCTATCTAAAACAAATCAAATAGGCTTACTAGCTTCTACACGCTAACGCAATCATGGGCAAACTAAGGCCCGCGGGCCATATCCGGCCCCGTTGGGCTTTTGAATCCGGCCCGCCGAATATTGGTACAAAATTGTCCAAATTATAGTAAAGACCGCATTCATTTAGCCTTTTTCCTGCAATACCCGGCATTTCAGTTGATCCCACTAGATGGCGCACTCTAGACACAATTGACCTTTGCTGGAGTCTGGTCTATTCTCTCAGCTGGCCCCACTCGGCAACCCGGCAAGATCAAAGAACCAAATATTTCACGCTTACGTTGGAGGGGGCGAGATTAAGCTGAGCAATAACAGTTCATGGCGAGTACGGCGAATACAAGTTGTAACAAGCAGTAGCGCTGAGCAAAGTGACTAGAACGAGACCACACACTTATCAAAAACACTTATATAAAGTCAGGTAACACTAACAGGCTTAGTGGGATTCTGTTTATTTGACCTTACTTTAATGACCCCGTTCACTGTTATTGACCATTGTGAAGAAGAGGCAGACGTTTTCCTGTGGTTTTGTATTATTGCAGCTATCGGATGGAATCAATACATGGGCTACATGTGGCCATCACAACGAAAATCATAACGAAAACTACGCCGGTAAAATATGCGTGTAGAAAACGGCTTATGCCACAATATGATAGCAACAAGTAGTCAAGATAGTCTGATTAGCTAACATCGCAGTAGAATGCCAGAGAAACGTTCATAACAGCGCTGTGATGCCAAACAGCTTTCAAACTAAAACACATTCACTGATGGGGATGGGGGATATTTATCAGCTGCTTGTGCGACAGTCAGACAATGAAAACTTTACAGCGGCCGCTACCGCGAGTTAACGGGAGAATAAACTCCGGTAGACGAGCAGTGCTCCAGCGGGCAGTAATGCAGCTGAACCACATTAATAAACAATGCACCACGGCACTCTGGAGACAGGTATAAGGTTGGAGAAGTAGTTATTTAATTTAATCTGGCTTCGTGTGATTAAAAACTACCCGACGCAGTCCTCTATTGATGTTGTTGTGAGCGGTGTTTCGGAGAAAATCAGCGACGTAAAACGCTGTGTGGGTCATAAGAAGGCACGTAAACGATGACGCAATAATTCACCTTTGAACCTGCATCTGTAACAATGAGTGGACGAAAAGAAAAGAAAAGTCAACATTGAGTGCCGAGTGTATAATGAGGAGTGGACAGCTAAATATTTTTTCACCGATCTGCTACGGGCCCGGCCCGTCTGTCAAATTTTAAAACTCATAGTGGCCCCGAGCCAAAAAGTTTGCCCACCCCTACGCTAAAGCCACTAATATCTCTCACCAGCAAAATACCTCGTCAGTTAAAAGCCATTTTACGTTTCATTACTATACAATACAGCATGGGTCGGCAATAGGTGGCCGGTTAAAACATTTTAATTTTTTTAAATGTGATTTGAACGGGACGGCACAAAACGAGAAGCATTCGGTCTACAAAGACAGAGAGGAGACTGTTCGGCTGTACTCAGCATTGATTCAAAACGCACTAAAGCTTTGGATCTTAATAAGCTTGTGAGCAGTGGCGGACTGCCCATCTGGAGAATCACAGAACGGCACCGCAGCGAGGCCCCCCCCCCCCCCCCATTGACAATTGACAGTTCACTAGCACCCCCCCCCCCCAAGCATTCGAACGTGTCACATGTTTTAACAATCAATTAAGCCTTTGATTATGTTCTGGCCAGCCATCTAGTGGCTCAGAAAAAAATTGGCCCAAGGACAAACTTACTTGCGACCCCTGCGATACAGTATTTATTATCATTATAGAATTACTATTTCGGCGATTAGCTAAAATATTAATTATATTTGATGCAACTTTAGTGACTTTTCTAAAACTTTGGGAAGAATATTCTTTTCCATAACTTTTCCAGGGCCTGGAATTTCCATTTTGAATTTTCCAGGTTTTTAATGAACCCTGTGTATTCCCCTAAATTAATCTGAGACAACAAATAAACATCTGTAATAAAGTAATAATAAGTAAATTGCTTTTATCTGAACACATTCACAAGAATATATTGAGTTTCTTTGTTTTTAACTAACAGATATTCTATGATGAAAACACTATCTAAAACTATCTTATCTTTCTGCTGTAACAAATGTAAATGCCCCCCCCCCCCCCCCCGAATAAAAGGTATTCTGATTCTGTAACTAGATATACAGATAATGCTTCAGATTAAAAACACAAACTCCTACCTGCTCGGCAGCGAGAGCCTCTCCGTAATTCTGCAGGAAGTTTCCGGAGACCACGGTGCCGACGATGGTCAGGCCTTTCCCCGCCTTCAGCTGGCTGGCGAACGTCAGCAGGCGAGGAGACTTAACGTGGGCGTCCTCGTCCAGCTTCAGTAACACCAGAACCTGAGGCCTGCAGGAGAGAGAGAGGGTTAGCAGGTGTGGATTTGAAGAATCAATACAGCTGCATGTTCTCCTACACAGTCTATGGAGGGTTTCTATTGTAGTTTATTCGTGATATTACATGTTCAATGTTACATATTGAGCAAATGTGGGTCCCTTTCCTCCATGTGTGACATCTCTATTTAAAAGGGCATTTGAAATGTCTTGAGTATATTCACTCAAGTCGGGAAAAGCTGAGAAGCACGGAAAAAACCATTTTGTTATCTATTTTCTAAGTCTGAAAAAAGGGTTTTGCCAGGATAATCTTATTCAAAGTTCCTCAATTGTTGTTTTCATATAGAGAGGCGAAGTCCCTCCCTTTCCGGGGGAGCTCCATATTTCGGAAAAATTATGTATTGAAGTCAATGGAGAGAGAAAGATTATCTTTCGATCCCGTTTGAATTGTGCCACGAATTACACACATGATGTTTGTCAATTTAAAAGATAATTTTGCAAGTCAACAAAATTAAAATGTGTCGTAAAACTGTGAAGTAATACTTTTTTTTTTGTGAAACCGCTCAATGAACTACAACTCCCGTCTCGTACCACACACCAAGACGGCCGTCACGTTGGCACATTTCCCCTCTTTCTTTCAGAATGAAGTGGAAAGTATTCAAAGAGGTGAAAATCACTCCAAGTCTGGGCATGTTGAGAGCTGTACATACACATAAGGGGAGTGAGTCGGTTCCTAAGAGCCAGCATGCGGGACCGGCATTCTGGGATTTGTAGTCTTTCTAGTTGCATATTTTTCATAGTCTTATATTTCAACAGTTTTACGACAAACTGACTTTTGACATGGAAATTATCTTTTAAATTGACAAACATCATATGTGTAATTCGTGGCACAATTCAAACGGGATCGAGAGATAATCTTTCTCTCCCCATTGACTTCAATGCATAATTTTTCCGAAATAAGGTCCCATGGGTCTGAAGTAGATGGGCGGGACTTCGCCTCTCTATAGTATAGTTTAGTTGTTCGAAATAGGGCTGAAATACTTCCTTTCGTCACCTGCTTTTTTGTCTTAAACACAGTCATAGTGATAGTCATACTATTGCAACAGTATGTGAAAAGTCTATTTCCTTGTATCATGTTTTAGTATTTGTCCTTTTTTGATTCTGGCAATAAATAATTATCGTATCGCAAGAAAACAATTTAGATTAGATTTCATGGATGGAAGAGATGGATGGAAGAGATGGATGGATCATCAAACAACTTGTTCCTCACTTTCCTGTAAAGTGTTCTCTACTGCAGGGCTACAGGCCGAGCAAATTAAGCACTAATTTTAGTAATAATGCGATGACATTTTTTAAATAAAGTCTGAGTTTTGTACCTCCAGTTCTTGGTGTGCGGCGGCCCCTCCTCCAGCCTCAGGAGGGCGTACCGGGCAGCGCTGAGCGACAGGCCGCGGATCCCATCCCCCCACTCCTTCTCCGCTCTAACACACACACACACACACACACACAGGATCAACATGTATGTACTACCGGATATGTGCTGTGTGTGTATTGTGACTCCCCTGACCCAAACACTCACTAAAAACAAAAGATGACTCATTCTGGATATAGACTCAGATACACACACACACAGGATCAACATGTATGTACTGCCAGATATGTGCTATGTGTGTATTGTGACTCCCCTGACCCACACTAAAAACAAAAGATGACTCATTCCACACACACACACACACACACACACACACACACACACACACACACACACACACACACACACACACACACACACACACACACACACACACACACACACACACACACACACACACACACACACACACACACACACACACACACACACCTCTTGACCATGCTGTACATGTAGGGGGGGATACATCTCCATAGCAACATACCCGTGGTACTCAATGTACTTGTAGATCATGCCGGCGATCACCATGGCAACGATTGCGTAGTACCAGGAGGAAATGAACATGAGCGCCAGGCAGATCGTCATCCCCAAAAACGACAAAGTCCTGCACACACCAGAGGCATGGATTAGTGTGTGTGTTTACATGCGTGTGGTGTGTGTTGACGTGAGTGTGTGTGTGTGTGTGTGTGTATGTGTGTGTACCAGTGGTAGTAGGAGAAGCGAGGCCTCCAGTTGGGCGTCCTCAGGAGAGTTTGGAGACCACAGGCGAGGTTCACGAACAGATAACACATCAGGAAAAACCTGAATAAAATAAATAAAAACATAAATTAAACTGAAGCCCCTGAAGGAAGAGAGACCAGTTTAAATATTGAGATACAGCACTCGAGATTAAGCCACTTCGCTTACACCCGTTAACGTCAAACAAACGGCCACCAGAACACGTGTGAATATAGAAAAATGTGTCTGGATAATTACTTAAGAGGGTTAATCGCTGCGAAAATGCAACTACATTATGAAAAAAACTTCATCGTGGTTTAGCAGCGCCAGAATCTACCTTCCAAAACGTGCAGAAGCTACAATTGACAATAATATTAAACTTCCTCCCTGATGCAGAGGTCTGAGAGTATTTTGTACATATCCTATATTCTATTGACATGTATATAGACTTTTCACTACTTTGGATTTTATTATATATGTTGCGTTGTTGGAGGAGCTCAGGTCAGAGGAATGTCATTGCCATTTCTACACTGTAGCTTTGTGCATATGACAATAAAACCTTTGAATTTGATATTTTGAATTTTCTAGTAACACATCTTATCAGCATTATCTCCAAGTTTTTAGTCTGGTCAAGGCAAGTTTATTTATATAGCACTTTTCAACACAAGGCAATTCAAAGTGCAAAGGTCAAACAGATATAGGCTTAAAAAAACGAATTTTTGCAAGAACATTGACTAAAGAGGCGTGATTACACACACACACACACACACACACACACACACCCACACACACACACACACACCACACACACACACACACACACACACACACAGCACACACACACAACACACACACAACACACACACACACCACACACACACACACCACACACACACACACACACACACACACACACCACACACACACACACACACACCCACACACCACACACACTCACACACACACACCACACACACACACACACACACACACACACACACACACAGACACACGTCTCACATGGTAAGGATGGGAGCCACCAGGTCCAGGGAGGCGATGAGGATCCCCAGCTCGGCGATCAGAGCCGTCAGCAGCAGAGCCCAGGTCGGCTCCCCGTTAGCCTTCCCATGGCCAAACACCTGGAACACACAGGAGGAAGGAGAGATTAAGGCCCCGGCCACACGAAGACGAAAACGGTCATTTGCGTTACTGTTTAGTGTCGTATAGACCATTAGGCCACACGAGGACGACCGAATACGGCACTAAACGACTGCGGAAACGATAACGGGTCCCAAGGTGGATAGAACGGCATACGCAACGCTCTGGGGGGTCAAATGGCTCCGTGTGTATGCCCTATACGATCATTTTCTGATAATGATGAGGCAATAGCCCCGCCTCTCCCCACCTCTGCTGCTCACCCCCGCGTCAAAGTAAACTGCACACTGAATTCAGATTATTTATCTTTCTCTCGATATGGACATAAACGCGAGTGAAGTCTAATCTGACAGGACGGAGACACCTCTCAAACTACCTAAACTAGTTATAAATATGTTTATTTTTACTGTCGGCCGGGTCACTCATTACTGGATCAGCTGCTGCATGAGACAGACACTGACGCTGTCCGGAGAGAGGGAGGAAAAAGAGAGGCTCCGTGTATTTTATTATTATATTATATAGAGTCGTTATTCATTTGTTTTAAAGCTCAATAAATAACAAAGAAGACCTTTGACCGGCACTTTTATAATTTTGTCGGAAGATTTAAACTGTAATACACGTTGACTGGCGAAAAACTCTGCCCGGTTCCCTCGGCCCCCACCGCGGAGAATAAACAGAAGGGCAACCATGACAACC